TAGAAAAAATAAAAAAATAATTGGGTATTACTATAGTAACTGTGAATTTTGTATGTGTGGTATGTGTGTATGTTTGTTACTCCTTCGGAAACGGCTGGACGGATTTGTATGAATTTTAGTATGCAGATAGACTAAGAGCTGGAGTAACAAAGAGTTTAACAATAAGTCTTTAGTATATTACATATGTTAATGAACAGGTAAAGTTAGAAAAGATAGTTGAAAGAAATAATTGGGGATAATTTTAAACGTTAATAAATGTACTAAATTCATTATATTTATATATATATATATATATATATATATATATATATAGTTTATTTAAATTTTAATTTATTACTTTATGAAATGCGTATTTATTAGTAGGTATATGTATAAATAAGTTATTGTGTAATATAATATGTATTATGTTACATGTGTATATATTTACTTTCATTATTATATTTTTAATTATTTATGTTTTGATAACACCCTCCCTTTTCCGTCTTGTTCAACCCTCTCACTCTCACCAAACGTTGTCTGGTAGAGATTGCTTTTAGCAATAAGGCCGCCTTTGCATGCTGAATGTATATATTCGCTTCGCTCAGGCGTGTCCCTAGGTGCCAAAAAGTTGCGTATTTTTTACTTTAGGTCTATTTTGTACTTTTCATCCAAATCCTGTCAACAATGTCAATGTGAAGGAGTACCAAACATATAAACATACGAATATCGCATGTATAATAGTACGAAAATAGTAGTCTTTTTTTCTTTCATGTTACTGGACCCTAAAAATGGCGTCTGCTCGTCATTATACAAAAAATTAAAGAATTGTAGGTGGAGTTATAACTTCAGTTATCCTATAAATAACTATTCGGTTTTTGAAAATTAAAAGGGTCAAGCACGAACGCTTTCAAATGTAACAAGTGTTTGATAATATATTCTTACAATCGTCTCTCGGACTATGTAATTGAGAGCTTCCGCTAAAGATGGTCTAAATGACCTCATATCCATTTTAAAACGTTCTCAGCAATTTTACAACTTCATAAACACTAAGAGGTAATAAGATGCAGACATATCCAGTGAATAGCACAAATATGCTATTTATCGGTATATAAAAACATAGATACACATTTCCTAACAAATATTTCATCAAAAAGTGGCGTTGACATGTGACGTTAAGTCAAACCAAAGAATAAAATTAAAAAATCGCTAGTTCTAATTGTCTAAACACAAATTCGAACTTACGCACACCACATAAAGTACTTTTTTAGACGAAACAAAGTGCGTTTTAGTTTTGTCATCTGAAAAGTAATGAATAAAAGAGATTTGAAAAAGGCGCAATTCAGTTTCGAACAGTGCACTTTTTTTGAGGACATTTTTGAGACGCCAATTGTGTGTCTTGAGTTTTTGTATATCAATATATTCTGATACATTCTATAATAAAATTTGCTTTTGGAGGGGTGAATCCTACTAATCCTGTTCTGAGTAACAAATATAGGCTTCAATTTTTAGGATTCCGTGCCTCAAAAGGAAAAAAATGAATCCCTAGAGAATCACTTTGTCTGTCTATCTGTCTGTCAAGACGCTTTTTCTCAGGAACGGTAGAGGTTTAGTTGAAATTAATCTCAAATACTCTCTGCAATCCCTCGGATACATCAAACTTTCATATTAATAATATTAGTGTGCTTAATTAAATCTGTGGGACAATTTTACATGAATAAACTAGGTGAGTGGAATCACAGGCAAATACTAGTATACCTTTAAATGTACGTATATTTTTAAGTATCGTAGTAAATTGTTTTGCAATATAATGACTTGTATAACATTCTAAGATATTGTATGAAGTAAAGTAAGTTGGCTGTCCACTAAAACAAGTGCACTATCTTATAATATTAAATGAGCAATTCTTGTATATCATAATTCATATTTTAATATTATACATGTGAAAGTGTGTTTGTTTGTTTGTTTTTTTGTTTGTCCTTCTTTCACATCGAAACAGAGTGACGAATTGGCGTGATATTTTGTGTGGAGATAGTTATAGGGCTGGAGAGTGACATAAGATACTTTTTTATACTTTTTACCGCGGGAGATTATCTCATTCCCACGGGAAAACACGTTATAAATTATAATACAACCCATAACAACTCATCATACCTAAGTATACATATACTATCTATTCTATATTAACCGTTAAAACCTACCTAGGGACGAACCCGAGCTTAGCTAGGGTGAATCGCTAGTATAAGACCTATAAAGCTAAAGAGTTTCTTTCCTTAAACGCGATCTCTGAATTTACCTGTCCGATTTGAAAAAATCTATTTATCAACCGACTTCCTCAAAAAGGAGGAGGTTCTCAATTCGGCTGTATGTTTTTTTTCTTTTATTTTTTTATGTTTGAGAGTGTATACTTCCAGATTGGTCTCATTTAAATTTCAAAAAATACCACCCCTAAGGGTGGAAAAATAGCTAATGATGAATTTAACCTACTTCTCATTGTCATATTGACTTGAAACTTTGCAAGTGCTTCTATTTCCGTTGATAGTACAGTTGTTCGGTATAGTTGACCTGATCTGATGGTAAGGCCAGAAGGTGGACAGGTGGAACTCATCAACGGCTAATAGTAGATACTTTGAGTTTGGGCTTATTTTGTTTGATTTGACAAGCCTAACACGTTAGAATTCTTACTTTGCTACTAATGTCTACACTAAAAATAAAAACTTTTTAACAAAAAAATAAAACCTAACTTCAAACAAAAGCACTAAAAAGTAAAAAATAACTGATTGGTAGTTTTCATTCGCTATACATACCTAATCAAATATTTTCGAAGTCGGTGTGCTTTGCTTTGTATCGGCTGGCAGGTTTTTATTTTTTTGTTAAAAAGTTTTTTTGAAGAAACATCTGTACGAGACTGGAGTAATTTTACAAAATCCTTTTATTTACAAAATTCTACGATTTGGACGAAGATGGACGAAGCTGCGAGATAAAACTTGTTTAGAATATAAGTCGTTTCATAAGTTAGCTCTCTCAATAGAGTACGACCAGAAAAAATCACAACACCTAGTGCCATTAGAAGGCAATCTACGATGAAGAAGTACATTAAATGTATTAAAATAAGCTACCGAGAACTTATGTAATACGTTACATGTATATATATATATATATATATATATATATATATATATTCTACCAACCTTCCTATTGATATTATAAATGTGAAAGTTTGTGAGAATCTTGACCCGGCTAACCAACTTTACCAAATTTCATCAAAATACCTTCAAGTGGTTTTTCCGTGATGCGGTAACAGACAGACAGACAGACAAAAATTCAAAATACTATAGATTTGGCCTCCGTATCGATAATAAAGTCCATTTCAATAAGATTTTCCAAAAAATATCTAATGTACAGATTCGGCTAAGTTACGATTTTATTATATGTATAGATAATAAAATTCCATTCGAACAATATCGGGAAAATGGCCTGTTTTACTTAAAATAATGTTGATATTGTAAACAAATTGAGATGTTTGTTTGTTTAGTAAAAGGAATGCAAGCTGAAATGCCAAACAAGAGATGTGCTATGATTACACATTATGTTAAATATAATATATACATATAATTAATCGTTCATCTATTCGTTGTATATAATATATTAATTTGTATGTATGTATTCAGCCCTTTTACCTTCATACTGCTGCGAGTGGGCCTCCCTTCAATACAATTCAACCAACCATAGACCTGGCCAAGTGCGGGCGGACTGAGCATGTCTTTCGATAGCTTGCTGGGTTCTCTCAGACGTGCAGGTTTAGTCACGATGTTCTCCTTCACTGTAAGACAAATGGTGATCGTGTTGGGAATAATTTACAGATGAGTGCAGGCAAAAACTGGTGTTGATATAAAATTAAAATGTAAAGACCGCGGAATTAGATAGGTAGGTTTACTTATACTTTCATAGACTTATACTAGCGATTTAGTCTCGCTTCGCTCGAGTGCGTCTTTAGGTACGTGGGGTTTTTTTGCGCGGAACCCTAATCCTATTCCTAAATAAAGTAGCCTATCTTACTACTTATAACATCAGCTATCTGCTAGTGAAAATCCCGTCAAAATCAGTCAAGCCGTTTCGGAGATTAGCCGAAATAAACAGACAGACAGACAAACATTTTTAAAATTATTTTTTCTATTTAAACCGTGTAACATTACAAACAGACGCTGTAACTTTATTTATCTGTATAGATAACGTGCTTGCTTTGATTGTTTAATAAAACAAATTATGTTAATCAACTTTTATACTTTTGAAAATAAACTAAAGAAATATATAGCTCGCGGGTTCGAGTCCCGCTGGGGGCATTCATTTGTGTGATGAACACGAATATTTGAACTCCAGTTGTGGGTGTTTATATTTATAATATGTATCTATTTAAAGTTATATATGTGTAGTGTCTCAACTATCTGGTATCCATAACACAGGCCTCGTAGCCTACCATGGAACTAGATGGTGCTGTATGTTAATGTCCCAACGTATCAGCTCCTGCGACCAGCATCACATCAGTGAGATGGTATAGTCTGATTTACGTGTACAAATGAAGCTATAATATAAAAAGTGTCTTGAAAAGCGTGCGAAACAGCAAGATAAAACTATTACCACATCAATTGACCTAAGTTGATATTTTATTAAAACACTAGCGACTCACCCTCGCTTCTCTCGGGTTCGTCCCTACTTACTTTTTAACGTTTAGTGTCGATTTCTCAGAGATGAGATATTTTCCCGCAGAAAAGTAGTATCCTATATGTTGACCCGGATAACCAGCTATCATTATACCAAATTTCATCAAAATCCCTCCAGTAGTTTTTTCATGATGCGGTAACAGACAGACAGATAAAAATTCTAAAAACTATAAAATTCGGCTTCTATCGATAATAATGTCTATTTCAATAAGTTTTTCCAAAAAATATTTAATATACAGATTCGGCTTCGTTACAATTTTATTATATGTATGGAAGATATTATATATTTTTTTTTCTTTCCAGGTTATACGGGGTGTCCATATAGAACCAGCGCACTTAGTTAAGAAAAGAAGTATAGACCAACCGTTAAGAATTAGTATTTTTTACGACCACTCTGTATATAGGTAAGTGAATCGTTTAATTTGTGAGTATTTATGTTTGTTAGTCTTTCACCTAAAAACTATTGAACGGATTTTGATAAAACTTTACAGTAATTTAGCTGATTTATCTGAACGCAGGTATTCCACTTTTTTGTGTTTATGAATAGGATTTATAAGGCTTTACAATAGCTATGCGTTGAAAAAAGTATTAAGAAAATCGATCCATATTTGATGAAGCCACAAAATCAAAAAAAAATAGAGATGAATTGATTGAACCTCCTCTTTTTGAAGTTGGTTAAGAATTTACGTTTTATATGTATTTTTCTTATCTGTATTTTGTATCAAATTGTGTAATTTGTCAAACACGTTATATTCGTAATAGAACCCAAAAAAATAATTGTGATCAGAATTACTTGAAACTTGGTATTAATGTTCTTCAATACAATAAAATAAATACGTTAAAATTTTAACATTTTTCGAAATTCATCGCATACGAGGTTAAAATAGTGGATGAAAGTTTGTAAGAAACCTAACTTTTTAAGAGTTTTTTTGTAGTTATAGCGCGAGCGAAGCCGCGGGTTTTGCTAGTAGCTTTATAAAGTCTAGATTCTATTTGTAAGCTATTTTTACCAGTGACGCTTTAAAACACTACTCGTATACTCGTAGATATCAGATTACTGTTATAATTGCGAATTGTATATGTGTGTATGCTTGTTATTCCTTCGCGCTGAAACGGCTGGACCGATTTGGATAAAAACGTAAGACACAGATAGACTATGACTTGGAATAACACATAGCCTACTCTAAGGCACCTAAGAATGCACGCGAGCGAAGCGTAAGCAAACCGCTGGTCAATAGGTACATATAAAGTCCCCCACCGTGTGTTTCGGTCTGATCGCGATAAACTCAAAAACTAGCGAACGGATTTTCATACGGTTTTCATCAATAGATGGAGAGATTCATGAGGAAAGAGGAAAGTTTAAGTGTATAAATCCTTAAGGTTTGGTATAAATTGGCTGAAATATGATGATGATTGTTAGAAATGTCGAAAAAAAAACATGCCGATTGCGAGCTTTACTGGCGTGCGCCGCGTAAAATTTTTTAGAATTTTTGTCTGTCTGTCTGTTATCCGGATCAACATATAGCATACTTTTTACCGCGGGAAAATATCTCATTTCTGAGAAAAAATACAAAAACTGCAATGTAAGAGTATACTTATATGTGAAAACTAAGAATTTGGTTTTTGGTCATCTGAACGCGGGCGGAGCCGTGGGCAATGCTAGTAAAGTTATATGAAAACAATGTATTATAGAATTATTCCTCTTAAAAAGATCTTCCTATAAAACTATAGCAATGCTATGTGCACGTACTTAGGAACGCACGCGAGCGAAGCGACGGTAAATCACTAGTTAAAATCTAAAACGACCTCTAGATCTAAAGGCCGTATTTAAATACCTCAATCAGTAAGCAATAAAAATGTATTTGCCCTGAATTTTAATTAATCGTATCATTGTTTCAATTTATATTATATCTGTTTAAATCTACTTAGGCGATTGTGATGAAATTTTCCTATGACTTTGAGCGTGTTTATAAAAGAGGTAGTGCTCCATTTAAGTTTTTTTAACCGACTTCCAAAAAGGAGGAGGTTCTCAATTCGTCGGGTTTTTTTATATGTGCTCACCAATTACTCGAAGATGCCTGAACAGATTTAGATTCATTTTGTTTCAAAGGGTATTATCTTCCCAGGTGGTCTCATATAAATTTTATCGAAATCGGTCGAGTGGTTTTAAAAAAATCAATAATAAATATTTGATTTAAATAAATTGTTTAATCGAATATGAATATAAATAAAAACTTTAAAAAAATCGACTTCCAGGCACTAAAAAATAACTCATTCATACTCATTTAGAATAGATACCTAATCAAATATTTTCGCAGAACCGGTGCCAGCCGATGCAAAGCAAATCTAATATATTTCGATAAGTAAAATACATATTTACTTAATAGATATTCATATCTTACAATATTGTCGGCTGGCACCGACTTCAAAAACATCTGATTATAATTAGGTATCCATTCTAAATGAAAACCCCCGTTTAGTTATATTCTACACTAGCATTGGCCGCGGCTCCGCCCGCATTCAGATGACCAAAAACCAAATTCTTAGGTTTTACATATTAGTATACTCTTACAATGCACTTTTTGTATTTTTTTCTGAGAAATGAGATATTTTTCGCGGTAAAAAGTATCCTATATGTTGACCCGGATAACCAGCTATCATCATACCAAATTTTATGAAAATCTGTCCAGTGGTTTTCTCGTGATGCGGTAATAGACAGACAGACAAAAATTCTAAAAACTATAGACTCGGATTCTGTATCGATAATGATGTCTGTTTCAATTAGATTTCCAAAAAATATTTAATGTACCGATTCGACTTAGTTACAATTTTATTATATGTGTAGATTTTAGTGCCTGGAAGTCGGTTTTTATTTATTTAGGAATAGAGAGTGCACGTTGTGTCTGCGCGTACACTTGTGCACTATAATATCTCCTGCGCAGTTGGCTAGTTTCAATGAGATTGGCCGCTGTGGCCGGAATCGGTCAGTAGAACATCATAAAGAGGTAAAGTTTGTTGAGTTTGTGACGTTGTAGGGGTAATCTTCGGATCTACTGAACCGGCTTAGATCAAATTTGGTGAGAAGATAGTTTGAGACCCTGGGAAGGACATAGGATACTTTTTATTCCGGAAATCATCCCTTAAGGGGGTGCAAATGGGGGATGATAATATATTCGCTTGAAGTAAAGTATTTGTATCTAAATTTAAATATTTTTCTCATTTCAGGCTAGAACCAGAGAAATTTGATATGATTAATGTAAGTATTTAAAGTCATAAAATACTTATATCACTTTTGTTTGACTGTCTTGTCGGTCTAGTGGTTAGCGTGTACGGCTGTAGATCCAGCGGTCCTGGGTTCGAGTCCCGGATCGTGATCGATCCAATTATATATCTAACATTTTTCTGTCATAAAATTCTTAGTGAAAGTCCACTTGGAAAGCTACAAATAAATTATTGCCATAAAACACAGTAAAAAATAGCACAATTATTATACTATCTTATGGCAAATGGTGATTGATAGTAACTTAGCGGATGCTGCTAACATCGAAATCTTGAACGGCGAAGATTTTCAGTTACACAGTTTCTTAGGATATTGAGCGCGAGCAAGTTAAAAGGACTAATTCCTCCAAAGAAAATAAAAAGATAAAAAGTGATCATAATAAAGTGTGTATGTAATAATGCGTGCGTGTGTGTGTGTATGTGTGTGTGTGTGTGTGTGTGTTTGTTTGCTTGCACTCCCGTACCTCGGAAACCTTAAGTCTCATCCATTGTGTCTAACTGGTGTCTCACAATGCATCTCGCATAGAGAATTCATGTTTGTGTACGCTCTCCCTTACACCTGCATATCTTCGCAATTTACTAGTCTCAATGATCGACGACGATCATAAAGTTGAAAGGATATTGTTATTATTGTTTATGTATGCTTTTACGATTATTTCTTGAAACTTATGCAAGGTTTTTTTTAATTTTTTTTTCAGAACACAATTCTACCAGAAGCAGTCAAATTCTGGGAAGAAGCCTTAAAAGTAAGAAAAACGGGGGGACCAATCAGACTTAATAGGTGAGTATTTTAATAAGTAAACTCTTACACTATACATAAAGAGATGAACATTTTTAATTTAAACAAATTATTTTTATTCTTCAATTCAATTCAATTTTTTTCTCAATGGCTTCGAAGCGTGTCACTTGAGCACAGATTACTTCGCCAATGTCACGTAGAATGGAGAAAACTTTTCGGACTCTTTTGAGGATTTATTTTGCGTTTTAATTCTCGACGTATCAAATGCTTTACAGCAATTGTTACGTTTGTAACAATCCTGAAAAATCGGAAACTTTTATAGTCTAAGATCCCGATCTATATTGTGGGCCCCTAATTCTTTTTCCAGGCGAAATATATTTTTTAAACCATAAAACCTATAAACAAACATAACCCAGGACTCACCAAAAATTTGTTCCAGGTTATTTTTTATTAAAAAACGTCTAGTCTGAAGATGCTTTAGTATATCATTAAATTTGTGATAAAACTATGTACATTTTGATATTTGGTTGCTTCCGGAAAATACGATCCGATACTAGCAATTAATTACTTGAATTTATTTGTATATATCTGAATGTCAGTGTTCGAAAAAGACTGCTAATCGTATGATAGAATTTTCTACAAGTTTTTTACATTCGATAGATACTAAGTTGTCACAGGAAAAGAGTTCTTGTAGTTTAAAAAAAAATCATTTTTTTTATTAAATAATAATAATAAATAAATAAATATATGTTGGGACATTAACACACAGCGCCATCTAGTTCCATGGTAAGCTACGAGGCTTGTGTTATGGATACCAGATAGTTGGTACACTACACATATATAACTTTAAATACATACATATTATAAATATAAACACCCATGACTAAAGTACAAACATTCGTGCTCATCACACAAATGAATGCCCCCAACGGGACTTGAACCCGCGACCGCTGGCACAGCAAGTAGGGTTATTACAAACTGAGCCAAACGTGTAAACGTAAAAAAAGTGTTAATAATTTCTTTTCAAATATGCAAAATATTTATAAAAACACAAACACTAAAAGCAACTCGCTGAAATAGAAGTTTTACGTTAAACCAACTACAGTGTACGCCGATACAGACCCATTCGTTTTTTTTTAATATTTGGGTAGGAATATTTTTTATTTTTTATTGTCGCACATACCTACGAGTAACTAAATTTAAACAGGAATTTTATTCGTATAATTTTATTTCTTTAACTTTTTCTATATTTTCCTTCATGGCAAGAGGGCAAATGTACCTCCTTACACCCACCTCCCGGTACTCATCAAACATGGAAAATATCTCGCTTCACATCATAAAATATCATGAAGTACTCTTGTAACAAACACTCAGGAGGTCAATCAGATGTAAAATAGACGTAATAAATAAACCGACATGCATCGTCTTATACTAATATTATAAAGAGGTAAAGTTTATGAGTTTGTCACGTTGTAGGGGGTAATCTCTGTATCTACTGAACCGATTTAGATGAAATTTTGTAAGAAGATAGTTTGAGATCCTGGGAAGGATATAGAATACTTTTTATGCCGGAAATAATTCCTTAAGGGAGTGAAAATGGGGATGAAAGTTTGTATGGGGAATCACGCTAGGGACGAACCAAAGCGAAGCGAGGGTGAGTCGCTAGTCTATGTAGATAAATAAAAAAAATATTTTCCTACTTACTTATTTTCTATTACTTCTTTTGTATTTCTTTAAGCATCAATTCTCTTCAATTTCATAGAAAGATAACAATATTAGCTTAATCAATTGTTTTTTCTTTTATTATAATAAAATAAGTTAGCTATTTTCATTTATTCATTTAATTCAATTATCTTAGCTATATTCTTTAATGTCTTCAAAGCACTAATTGAGAACAGATTATATCGCTAATGTCCCGTAGAATGGAGATGACACGAAGGATTTATTTACTCATCACTCAGTACACAAATTGTCATTTGCACACTATTTTAAAATATTATTGTTTGGCTTCGTGTTTAGTTCTATGGCAGTCTATCTATAAAATTTCTCAGTCTAAGGCGTATATAAATATAAATTAATCATTTAAAAAACCTCCTACGCAAATTAATTGTCATTTAACGATTACACTGGCACGCACTAAATTGAGTAATCATACGCCAAAATGCTTTACATCTCTCTATACTCTTACACTGCTATACCTTTTTTTTTTGTTTTTTTTTTTTAACGTTGGGAAATGCATTTACGCACGAGGTGTGGGACTCACCGGCAAAGCCAGTACTACCCACTGAAACCCAACAAAGCCTTCCCCCGTCTTAATAGGGCGTCGCAGGATCGCTTACGCATTCAACTACGACGCCCCGACGGCAGGTCTGCCGAAGCAGACCACAACAACCACGGGGTTGCTCCAAGGTCTACTCTGCTATCAGAGAAGTACCAGGAGCAACCCGCATGGTACACCGCGCTCCGAAGAGGGCCACCTCCCACCGCCCACCGAAGTGGGCCACCTCCCTGTGCGTTTCTTGGCTTCGCGCCCGGTTGGGTTGCCGGGCACTACTGAGCCCCCCCACCACGACAAGGTGAACGCACGTTGGGGGGGGGGGGGGGAACACTGCTATACCTATATTAACCAAACATACCTAAGAACCACCGCAAGGAAACTGGCTTTCAAATGAAAAAAAAACGCATCGAAATCGGTCCATCCGTTTGAGAGCTACGATGCCACAGACAGACAGACATCGACGTCAAACTTACAACACACCTCGTTTTGCGTCGGGGGTTAATAAGATGTCAATGCTAGAAAAGAAAGAAAAATGTTAACGTAATTATATGTTAATGAGTTATAATTAATTATTTCTAATGTGCTTTTTAATATTTTCTGATGAAGTTTATAGTTAGTGTTACTAGTGACTCACCCTCGCTTGGCTTGTTTGCGTTCCCAGGCACATTTGAATTTTATTGAGCGGAATCCTGATTCGTTTTCTAAAATAAAAGTAGCCTAAGTTACTCCTTATAACATCAGCTATCTGCTAGAGAAAGTCCCGTCAAAATCGGTCCAGCCGTTTCAGAGATTAGCCGGAACAAACAGACAGACAAAAAAATTAAAAATTGTTTTATTCTTATAAGTACCGTATATAATTTCATATGCATTCAGTAAAAATCTGTTATTTTGACATTACACACAGACACTTCAATTTTATTTATCTGTATAGATTATATAACAAAGTGCGTGCTCAGTTTCATTGAACATAAACGATCTTAACAAACCTTAACAATGTATAATAAAACTCGTAGTAAAATAAATAAATATTACTACTAGCTCTCTAACAACTAGAATTTATAAGTGCATTCTAAACTATGGCTTTACGTACAAACATACAGTACATCGGTGATCTTACTAGCTAGCATGTACGGCTGTACATCCGGAGGTCCTGGGTTCGAGTCCCGGCTCGAGCCAAGTTTAGTTATTAAGTCTTTCTGCTTAGTAAGCATCAGTAACAGCCCGGAGTTGGGAAGTTGGCGGTGTTTCACCCCCGTGCCTAGGCAGAGCACGTGTACGTGTTGTTTTTGTAACACTGGAGAGACTGATTTTTCATGATTGCTGTAAAACATTTGAAACTCCGGTAACCAAAAATCAAAATAAACCCGCAAAAAAATTCGAAAAGATAGTTTTATTTAAAACTAGTGACTTATTCTCGCTTTGCTCGGGCGCGTCCCTAAGCTTGAATAGTTTAGGGACGAGTAAAAGATGAACGTCCAAAGAATTTTCTTTTGCGTCAGGAACCTTCGCGGGCGTATACAACATAACACACCAGAGTTTCATCACAATCGGATCAATAGTTTAGGAACGTATAGAGGACAAACATACGTATATTCACTTTTATTTATATAGGAAATGAGTTCTTAAAATTTTCCGTGCCATTCAACAATCAGCCATTTAGTAATGTTTGTACTGTATAATCGTAGATGGCGCTAATTAAATTTTATTAAATGCTTTAATAAAACAAAAAAATAAAACACACAAAAAAGAAATGTGTAGATTACAAGGTAAAATAAAAAACAATTTTTATATATACACACAATTTTTTATTAATTAAATAATTTACAAAAAAATCTGACGTTTAAATATTATTTATATATATACATTAATTATATACATATGTATTATATACAGATAAATAAAATTGAAATTTTGTGTGTACTGTGCTGTGCTGTTTTACTAAATGCATATGAAAGTGTATAGGGGGTACTTATAAGAAAAACACAATTTTTAATTTTTTTCTCTGACTATCCGTCTGTTTGTTCCGGCTAATCTCCGAAACGGCTGGACTGATTTTAACGAGACTTTCACTGGCACATAGCTGACGTTATACGCAGTAACTAAGGCTACTTTTATTGTACAAAAAGAATTACGGTACCTTGTCACTAGTATAATACATTAATTATAATATGTCTGCATTGATAAATGAAGTATAGACTATAGAGCAGTATAGATCAAAAAATCTTGAATTTTGTGTTGTTTGTTGTTTTTTTTTATTTTAAGCTTAGCTATTGCTAACTGTAGCTCTTTTTTATACATCTTTTACATTTTTAGCGTTACGTTTGCCTTTTGTTTTTTTTGCAGTCGTGTATTCTATTAACCAAATGTTTTAATCTTCTTTTCCAGCCAAATATTTTTCATACTAAAGTTTCACCAACTTCCATATCAACCACATTCACAGGAAGAAATGACCAATATTTTTCTAAGTAGACTATCTCCCACAAAATTTTAAGTATAGGCCCGATCGCAACAATAATTTACAATTTCATCTCCAAACATTTTTGTATTAGTCTACAAATTATATCGATCTGTACATAGCTTGAGTTAGCATTATCGATCAAAAAAGTAATAGATACACAATCCCATGCAAAGGTTCTCTTAAAACTGTCACCCATTGTGTTTAGGTAATTATTCTAGTTGAAATAAATATACAAAAATGTAAATTGAACCTTAAATGCAATGCCTAAAGTTGTTTTTTCAAAAAATAAATAAATTAAAAGCGTGCTCAAACGTTCAAACGAGCGCTCATTCGGTGAGGACATTTTTTGTTGATGATTGTGTATCTAGTACTTTTTTGATCGATGGCTAACCATGCTAACATCCTTATAATGGTTATCGCCTCCGTGCGAATTTCCGGGAAATTAATTTTTAAATTGACACGCCGGCGGTGATTATGAACAGGTTTAATTCATTTCAATTCTCTTGTCAATGTCTTCAAAGCGTGCCAGTTGAGTACAGATTTCTTCGCCAATGTCACGTAGAATGGAGAAGACGCGAGGAAGAATTATGGCTATTTATGAAATTTTAATCTGATTTGGTATAAGTCATCCCTTGGCAGCACATTGGTACTTCGTATGCTATCACTTTATTGCAGTTAGGACAATAGTGGTTTACGTATTTACAGAAATTCGTGCAGTATACCACGATAGTCATCGGTGGGAAGCTGTAAAAAAATAATACTTTTTTTACATTTTGAGTTCCTTACCATTATATCTAATCTAATATATTTAAACGAGCAATTCTTGTATATATATAATCTGAATCTTGGAAATCGATCTAGATTAGTTTTATGTCTGGGAAAACGCGTGTTTTCGACTTTTCATGCGGTTTTGTTTCGCATTATTCCACGCAAAATATGGTCGCTAATTCGCACGCTAGGAGATAAGCATCGTGGTCAAGCGGCCAAGGCGCAAGTTTTACAATCACAGGTGTCTGGGTTCGTATCCCGGTCGGATACAAAGTTTTTACTTCTGTTTTTTTTTAATATTTATTCAAGTTTTAAGTTTAAAAAAAAACAGATAATTACACTTTAGGCCAAAAACTCCGAGCGAAGCTCGGTCGCCCAGGTACTAATATTGTATTATGCATTTACAGATTGAATAGGACGTATGTGGCATAGTGGCTTAAAACTCTAGCATGTATGGGGATTCTCCCTTAATTTGCATACTAATAGGGCTTTGACTGTATTCTTTAAGCAATCCCAAAAAAAAAATCCGTAGAACAGACAAAAAAATTATATAAATGGCTTATGTTATGTGCATAATATATAATATTTTGAAAAAATTATCCCAAACACTGAATTCTCTCAATTCACCTTATTGACAGATGGATCGAATCATTTAGACTAAGCTCAAGACTCACGGTTTTACGTACCAAAACAACTTAAAATACTTACAAAAATAAATATAAGGCGGCCAAAATATGCGTCATGATGCCACTTTCCCGCACAGTCAACGTATGGACCCGCTGCTGACAATCGGGACACATCACCAACTTTCTATCTGTATTAGATAACACTGTTGGGAGTTGAGGATCTGAAAAAAAGTTTAATAATTAACTAAAATGCACAATATTTTCTACCCTTGAGTATGAAATTCTGGGTTGAAATTTACATCGGATCACCGGAATTATGAAGAATTGTCTTATAATTGGTTTAAGATATTTCAATTCATATCTACAATGACATGACGAGACATTTGGCTCAGTTGGTAGTGACCTTACTTCCTGTGCCAGCGGTCGCGGGTTCGAGTCCCGCTGGGGGCATTCGTTTGTGTGATGAGCACGAATGTTTGTGCTCCAGTCATGGGTGTTTATATTTATGATATGTATGTATTTAAAGTTATATATGTGTGGTGTATTAACTATCTGATAAAACAAAATTAAAAAAAAACACTATGTAATATAACATAGTTCATAGTGATTTTTGTTTTGTCCTGTATCATTCAAGGCATTAACCAGACTTGGCCCAATATATAAATATATTTTTTTAACTAAGATTAATCTCATAATGATACCGTCTTAGGGTTGTATATATTCTTCTGCACATCATCAAAACTAAGGGCGCTCGTCACAGCATCCCATTGTGCCGACATGAACGTACCACTGAGTTTATTGGATATTGTCAGCGGCCCGACAAATATTATGAGGCCGATATACTCACCATAAATGGATGTGGGAAATAGAATTTCTGGATTGATAATACTTTTCCCGATAGTAAACTGATGCTGATGGCACAAGATCGGCTGCCATGGAAATCTTATGGGGACATATATGGTCTAACAGTGGGCCTCAGATGCGATGATGATAAATAAACTGATAGTAAAATGTAATCAAAAAAAATCTATACTAATATTATAAAGAGGTAAAGCTTGTGAGTTTTTGAGATTGTGACGTTGTAGGGGGTAATTTCTGGATCTACTGAACCGATTTAGACGGAATTTGGTAAGAAGATAGTTTGGAATCCTGGGAAGGACATAGGATACTTTTTATCCCGGAAATCATTCCTTAAGGGAGTGAAAATGGGAATGAAAGTTTGTATGTGGAATCAAGCTAGGGACGAACCCGAGCGAAGCGAAGGTGAATCGCTAGTCTTGACATAAGAATTGTCGATAGAAAAAAAGTGAAATGTCTCTTTAAGTCTCTATCAACTTACTTGGGACAATGACTTCAGTCCTGGGAGGTTCAGGAGATACTGGGATTGGTGAAATCGGTGCGACTTCGGTGTATGCTGGTGGCGGTTCGGGAAATTCCCTCTCTGGTGTTGAGTTTAGAACTGGAAGCCGCTCAGATCCATATATATAGCTTTCTTTTGACATGAAGTTTTGACTTGACGATTCTAAAGAAGATCCTGAAATTAAGATTTTTTTATTCTATAGGCTCTTTTTCTATCTTATCTTATCTTATTTTCTTATTTAAACAGACACTTAAATTTTATTTTGACCTGATAAGTAATCCCTAAAACATACATTAAGCTACTTACTATTGACTAACAAAAATTGTACTATACTCACAATGTTCTAAAAGTTAAAAAACTAGATAGATTTAGAGATTAAAGATTATGCATATTGGAATTAGTTACCTTATTGGAATTGAAAAATAACTACCTGCATTTCCATTTGATGACCCAGCCAATGTGCTTTGGTCATTTTGAGGTATATTTATTCGTCTATTTTTAAAGGGATCGTAGAATATCGTCTCCTGAAACCAAAATTAAAATAATTTAAAGCGAAGTTTATCTATCATATAGAATGGAAATAATCAGTCAAGTTGATAAGTTTCAGAATATTTTGCTGATATGTGAGATAAAAGTAAATGCTTCGCGAAAAGGATATTCTATAATTTCTTACTAATAGATTTAAACAAAAATATCATTCAATTTATCAATCTTCCTCGTGTCTTCTCCTACAATCAGTGCCCATCTGGCAGATTTTGAAGCCATTTTTATTATATGTTTAACTTTTTACTTAACTTTATATGATTAGGATCTTCTTCTTTTTATCCCTGCCCATTTCCCAATCACTTGGGGTCGTCGCAGTACATCTTCTGTACTGCTGATAGGATTTGGCAAAAGTTTTACGACCGGCCGCCTGCCTGACGTCAACCTTCCTTGGGAATTTTATATGATTTGGATATTGCTAAGAAAATTGTCTCTACCGGATAGTAATGGGAAATAAAGTGTGAAACATTTATTTACTTCAACAAAATCTGTCGCGTTCTCTTCTCTTCCGCCTTCTTCTCTTCTGATTGCATTATCTTCTGTACTCTGAGAACCCGTGTCTGGTAAATCTATGTATATCTCAGGAGTTTCGTCGGGTTCAGGTTTGATGTTCGGATTGAGTCTTGATGGTCCTTCTATTACGCTGCTGTTATTCTGCAATGTAAGAGAATAATTACTTTAATAAGATTATTCTTTATTTCTATAAAAGAGAGAGAGAGATTGTATATTTTTAATTATATATATTTATATATATATATATATATATATATATATATATATATATATATATATATATATATACAAGAATTGCTCGTTTAATATAATAAGATTTATTTAGACCCGTAATATCGATGGTACTTTAGTTGCGATTACTCTAATATTAATGTCTTGTCAGATTCATATTACTTTCAGCAAATGTCACTAAATTATATGGATTAGTTGATCTGTAATTGTTACTACGACCCTCTAACATCAAAAAACTGTAGCTGAGACAACTGGGGTAGTCATGTTTGAAGTAAAGCATTCGAAACGGCGATACGGAACCCTCGATTTACGAGTCAAAATCATACTCTCACATTTGAAAATCATTGCAGACATCAAATTATAAGTTACTAGTATAACCCGCTGCTTCGCTCGCGCTAAAATTACAAAAAAAACTCTAAAATGGTTTCATATAAACTTTCACCTTTATTTTATCCCGTTATGGGATAAATTTCTAAAAATACTAAACACGTATTTAATTAATTGTATTGAAGAGTATACATGAAGAGTATATTTAATACCAAGTTTCAAGTAATTCTGATCAGAAATATTTTTTTGGATTGTATTATAACGTGTTTTCCCGTGGGAAAGAGAATATCTCCCGAAGTAAAAAATAGCCTATGTCACTCTCCAGCCCTCCAACTATCTCCACACAAAAAGTCACGCCAATCCGCCAAGCCGTTTCGACGTGAAAGAAATACAAACAAACAAACAAACTCACTTTCACATTTATAATATTAGTATGGATAACACAAAGCCAAAGAGTTTGATTTTTTTGTAGTTTGAACGCGGGTGAAGGTTCTGCTAGTATGTAATAAAACCGCGATAATATCCGAAAAGATAGTACTATTTAAAATGTCAAATATTCTCGTAACTCCTTCAAAAAACTTAAGTTAATCTCACCCCACTACTTGCACTTTCGGGTATGTCAACGTAGACTACATTGTTATTTGTGGTTTTCTTTCCCGGCACTAATTGTCTTCTCGGCAAATTGGTCCATCTGGAAGCAGTCTCAGCATCTATCGATGGAGCATCTATTACTATGGGATTGACATAAGGGTAGCCCTGGTACCTTTGACCCTGGGTGGACGGCGTGCTCGTCATCACCTAGAATTGGAAAATTGCCATGAATTATAAAGAAAGAAGAAGAATAAAAAAGAAGATAGAAATCAATATTCAGACCTATTAGATTTAGGACAGGAAATTCTTCAATTAAAGTTTATGGGAAAGCAGAATTTTTTAGCACTTTACCAATCTACGTCTAATTATAGACTACAGTCTACAATGTTATTGACAAGTCACGTGACTTTAGAAACAATAAATTTTATCATCATTTGCCATATTTGCTTATCTCGGCTATTTCACCGTGTCTTATCGTGATGACGTAGGTATACACTCGTATCTCATTCGTTACTTACTGCTTAGGGAAATAACTTCTTAAAGGCTTTCATTGCGAAATATTTTCAAGTAGCGGCTTACTTTCGGTTTGCTCGGTACTCTTGGCGCGCAGATGTTGTTGACAAGTTCATCTGTTCATGAGTGTTAATTTTTTCGAGGAGCTCAAATTCTTTTTCTAAAATAAAAGTAGCCTAAGTTACTCCTTATAACATCAGCTATCTGCCAGCGAAAGTCCCGTCAAAATCAGTCTAGCCATTTTGGAGATTAGCCGAATCAAACAGACAGACGAAAATTTCCTTTTATAATCAGCGTATATGTACATACTTTACAAATGCAGTTAGTAAAAATGTAATATGCATTTAGTAAAAAGTTATTCTGACAAAAAAACTGGTGTTTGTTCAAAGAGGGATGTTTTATGATTGACCGCTGTGTGTGTGTCTGTGTGTGTGTCTGTCTGTGGCACCGTAGCTCTTGAACGAGTGAACCGATTTGGATGCGGTCTTTTAATTTGAAAGCTAGTTTCATGACGATGGTTCTTAGATATGTTTTATCAAAATTGGTGTAGCTATTTACTAGATATGGGGGGTGGATGTGGGTATGAAAAATCGAATATTTTCAAATATACCCAAGTGCGGTATCAAATAAAAGCGCACGATGTGTATATTAAAATTAGACATGTTTTATCAAAATCGGATAGCCGTTTTAGATATGTTATATAATAATCGACGGGAAGTAAATAAGAACCTATTTACGGAAAAAATGAAAAAGAAATCTAATTAACTTCTTCTTATCGAAAAAATGCAAGATGTTTCCTCTAAAGAAATTTTAATGATCACGAGTATTCGAATATAGATAACTACAATAAAATCCATAGGAAAGTTGTACTGTATGTGAAAGTTAGTTTGTCTGGTTGGTTTTCGGCGAAAAATTACTGAATCAATATTGATTGATGAGGCTGAGACGAGATGACCCCTCTAAATTATTGGGAACAAAAATTCTCAATTCAATTCAATTTTATTGCTAACTAGCGACTCACCCTCGCTTTTGTTTTAACGGTTAGCGTAGATTTTTCAGAGGTGAGATATTTTCCCACAGTAAAAATATCCTATACGTTGACCCGGATAACCAGATATCATCATACAAAATTTCATCAAAATCTGTCTAGTGGTTTTCTCGTGATGCGTTCTCAAACAGACAGATAAAAATTCTAAAAACTAGATTCGGCCTTTGTATCAATAATAATGACTATTTCAATAAGATTTTCCAAAACAATATTTTTAATGTACAGATTCGACTCTGTTAGAATTTTATTATATGTATAGATAGATGGCTTAAAATACACAAATTTTAAAAATTTGCATTGAAATGGCTTTAACTGTTATGTTCTCAGATTAATATTATAATTGCGAATGTTTGTATGTGTGTATGTCTGTTACTCCTTCGCTCTAAAACGGCTGGACGGATTTTGATAAAACTTAGTACATAGATTATATAGGCTATTATAGGTTTAGCACCTAAAGACGCATCTAAGTGAAGCATGGGTAATATATTAAGTTACAGATGGAGATAATATAGTGCTACACGACACGTTTGGCTGAGTTTGTAGTGACCCTTTGTACTCCAGTCATGGGTGTTTATATTTATAACATGTATGTATTTAAAGTTATATATGTGTAGTGTATCAACTGTCTGGTATCCATAACACAGGCCTCGTAGCTTACCATGGAACTAGATGGTGCTGTGTGTTAATGTCCCAACATATTTATTTATTTATTTTATTTTACTCTATTTATCCTTTATCCTTATTACTTTTTGTGGACAATACAAATGAACATCCCGCGGTAATCGAACGTGTTACGTCCAATAAAATAGTAAGGTTGACATGTATTTCAGATAAGATATCACTAATATCTTTTTATAGTTTTATCTCTTTATTGTTTTACTAGCATTGCCCGCGGCTCCGCCCGCGTTCATATGACCAAAACCAAATTCTTAGGTTTTATATATTAGTATACTCGTATTAGTATATTAGTTGACCCGGATAACCAGCTATGACCATACCAAATTTCTTCAAAATCCCTCCAGTGATTTTCTGTGATGCGGTTACAGACAGACAGACAGACAGACAAAAATTCTAAAAACTATAGATTCGTCCTCTGTATCGATTTTAATGTCTATTTCAATAAGATTTTCTAAAAAAAATTAATGTACAGATTTGACTTAGTTAGAATTTTATTATATGTATAGATTTATCCTCCTTTAAGACGTAGACGGAGATAATTATGGCGCTTCTTATTTTGTTCTCCAGTTTTGCGTCGAAGATATTTTTTTTTACCTCGCGGGTATCGAACCTGTGACTTTCAATAGAATAGACAGTGTTAGGTTCATCATCAAAATATTTTAAAGCCTTAATAAACTTAAATAAATATGTTGTGACATTAACAAACAGCACCACCTACTCGTAGTTCCATGGTAAGCTACGAGTCTTATGTTATGGATACCAGATAGTTGATACACTACACATATACCCCCGACCCCAAGACCGCTGGCACAGCAAGTAGGGTCACTACAAACTGAGTCAAACGTGTCGTCATTTTTTTTTTGGATTTGTGATAGCTTTAGACCTGGCATGAACTTTTGAACTTTTACTTTTTTTATTGTACTTGTAATATATGGATAGCATTTACCTATCTATAAAAAAGACTAACTGCCTTTAACATTTTTTTATTGATAGGTACTAAATAAAAAAAAAAGAAAATCGTTTGACAAACAGAGGAGAAAAAGGTACCTACTGAATTGTTTTGTCGATGTAAATACATAAATACACATTTCCTAACAAATATCTCTCGAATAAAAACTTTTTAACAAAAAAAATTAAAACCGACTTCAAACAAAAGCACTAAAAAGCAAAAAATAACTGATTGGTAGTTTTCATTAACTATACATACCTAATTAAATATTTTTGAAGTTGGTGTGCTTTGCTTTGTATCGGCTGGCACCGACTTCAAAATTATTTGACTGTATTTTTTTTTGAAATTTAAATGGGACCAATCTGGAAGTATACACTTTCAAACAAAACAAAAATTGTTCAAATCGGTTAATAAATCACGGAGTTCTGAAGTAACAAACATAAAAAAAAACATACAGCCGGATTGAGAACCTCCTCCGTTTTGAGGAAGTCGGTTGAAAAGTGGCGTCGACATGTGACGTTAAGTCAAACCAAAGAATATCTAACATAAAAAAATCGAAAGTTCTAATTGTCCAAACACAAATTCAAACTTACGCACACCACATAAAGTAGTTTTTTTAACGAAACCACGTGCGTTTTAATTTTGTCATCCCAAGAGCAACGAACAGACAAGATTAGAAAAAAGCGCAATACAATTTCGAATTGTGCACTTCTTTTTGAGGAGACTTTTAAGACGCTCATTGTATATCTTGAGTTTTTGTATATCAATGAAAGATACTCCAAAACTTTATCCATACATAGTTGCCAACTCGAACTTGGCCGGTGTGGTGGACTATGGCCTGATCCCCCTCGTATTGAAGGGAGGCTCGTGCCCAGCAGTGGGACGTTAAAAAGGGCTGAATACAGATAAATTCTCTGACGAAACTGTCTTCACCAATATTTATTTAAAAGAAAGACCATAATATATTTTATTACTAGAAAACTGAATTTTTACTGCTGCTAAATTAATATTTACATAATTTTATGGCCACAAACTCCAATTTGAATGGTACTTTCCACAGTGCTACGCCTGTAAGCTGTATTATAGTTTTATTTACGTTGTTTTTTTTAACCGACTTCCAAAGGGAGGAGGTTCTCAATTCGTCGGAATCTTTTTTTTATGTATGTTCACTGATTACTTGAAGATTCTTGAACCGATTTGGAAATATTTTTTTTGTTTCAAGGGCTTCCCAGGTGGTCCCATATAAATTTTATCGAAACCGATCAAACGGTTTTATTTAAATCAATAAATAAATATATATTTTTAAATACATTGCTTAATCGAACACGTTATTAAAAACTTTCTAACAAATTACCTGCTTATTACGTCTACACTAAAAATGGACAAATAAAAACTTAAAAAAGACCGCCTTCCAGGGACTAAAATGTATAAAATAACTAAACGGAGGTTTTCATTTAGAATAGATACCTAATCAGATATTTTCGAAGTCGGTGCCAGCCTACAATATTTTAAGATATGAATATCTAATAGGTAAATATGTGTTTTGCGTATCGAAATATATTAGATTTGCTTTGCATCGGCTGGCACCGAAATGGGCAGGGAGATGATGATTATACTTTTGTCACTTTCGAGCACTAAAACGTTAAAACCCTCATAATTTATTACCAAAAACATTAAATATGATTTTTTATGAGGTTCCCCATTCATTTTTTCATCCAAGATCTCAAGATTTATTTTTGCTATAAAAGGTAAACATCGCAATTGGTTCAGCAGTCTTGACGTGACAACGTGATAAACAAACAGTCAGACAGAGTTACTTTCGCAATTTTAATATTAGCTTAGATTCCCATGAGGACAAAACGCCCACGATGACCAGACGAAATGAAATTTGATTTAATTTTTGGGTCTTTCAGAAATTAAAAAAAAATTAAGAAAAAATAGTTAATTACGCTTGACTCGCCTATCTATACATATAATCAAATTCTAACCGAGTCGAATCTGTACATTCAATATTTTGTGGAAAATGTTATTGAAATGGTCATTATTATTGATACAGAGACCGAATCTATATTTTTAGAATTTTTGTCTGTCTGTCTGGGAACGCGTCACGAATAACCCATAGGACAGATTTTGATGAAATTTGGTGTAATGATAGCTGGTTATCCGGGTCAACATATAGGATACTTTTTACTGGGCAAAATATCTCATCTCTGAGAAATCTATATTAAACATTAAAATGTAATTAGGGAGAGTCGCTAGTAATATTTTAAGTGCGAATGTTGGAGTGTATGTATGTTTGTCACTCCTTCACGCGAACGGTTGGTCGGATTTGGGTGAAACTTAGTACACAGATAGGCTGACCTGTAAAGTGGTGAAACGAGCCGGTACTTAAGTATATTTATAATTTGACTGTATTTTATTTTCGTGTAAATGTACTCTTATATCAGTTAATGTGCTATCGATGTTCCCATTGTATTAAATATACGATAACGCTAATAAAAAACATGAGATAGCTTATCAATATCATGTAAATACAGCACTAAAATATCGATTAAATTGTTGAGATCTGAATAATAATAATAATTATTAATAAATATGTTTGGACATTAACACACAGCACCATCTTGTTCAATGATAAGCTACGAGGTTTGTGTTACGGATACTAGATAGTTGATACACTACACATATATGTATAACTTTAAAAACATACATATTATAAATATGAATACAAACTCATGACTGGAGTACAAACATTCGTGCTCATCACACAAATGAACGCCTCCAGCGGGAATCGAACCCGCGACCGCCGGCACAGCAAGTGGGCACTACAAACTGAACCAAACTTTTCGTCATGGGTACTATTTTGGATTGAGTTGAAAAACAAGGTACTCAAATGTTGTGCGTATGTTTTTTTGTTAATATATATAGTATAATAGGTGGTCCCATACAATTTTTGAATGAAATCCTAAGCTACTGGCCCCAGTGACGACGCGAATGCACAAAATTACAGATACCTTTATAATATAATTATAAATAAATCAGGCAGTTAAAAATCACGAGAATGGGTAGGCCAGAAAAAAAAGAAATAAGAAAGAAAAACAAAAAAAGGGGGCATTGGTGGTCGGGGAGTTGGCATGGGTGGATGTTACCCGTGATTTTTAACTGGAAAAACGATTATTGTTGAGAATACCTAAGTTTTTTCTTAATAAATTGTAACTAAATCTAGTTAAAACTAGCGGCTAACCCTCGCTTCGCTCGGGTTCGCCTCTAGAAAAACACTAATAAAAATCTATTAGTTCCCACGGGAACCGTTCATTTTTCCCGGATGAAAAGTAACCGGTTGTTTGACCGGCAATATAAGGTATCAGAATGTTAAATTTTACTAAATTAGGTGCATAAGTTGTATAAGTTATAATAGTTTTTAACTATCCCACTGGAACCATTATATTTTTCGGGATAAAAAATATCTAAGACGTTGTCCGGGGATATAAGGTACCACCATGCAAAATTTCATTTAAATCGGTCCAATAGATTCGGAGATTAGCCCGTACAAACACAAACAATATCACACGGGAACGCAGTCGAACGGGATAAAAAGTATCCTATGTCCGTCTCTCGGTTCTAAGCTACCTCCCCGCCAATTTTCAGCCAAATCGGTTCAGCCGTTCTGGAGTTATAAATAGTGTAACTAACACGACTTTCTTTTATATATATATAGATATATACGTTTTGAAACAAGATGCTGATTTTTTAACCCCCGACGCAAAAAGAGGGGTGTTATAAGTTTGACGTCGATGTCTATCTGTCTGTGTGTGTGTGTTGTCTGTGGCATCGTAGCTCTGAAACGGATAGACCGATTTCGATGTGTTTTTTTTTTCATTTGAAAGCCAGTTTAGTTTCCTTGCGATGGTTCTTAGCTATGTTTGAATGATTACTCGATTAAGTGCTTCACGCGTGCCAGTGTAATCGTTAAATGACAATTAATTTGCGTAGGGTTTTTTTTTTTAATTTTTAATTTATAACCCTGAGATATCTTACATTCGTGCAAATCTCTTCTCATCGTCTTTTACTTACCAAATTTTTGTACAAAATCCAATTTCAGCAAACAAAAACACGTCACTCGCACTTTACTTTTGTTATCACAATGAAAAAAGTTGCTACATTTTCAGTCCAGTTGTCATGAAGGGCTGTACATACATGATTGTGTGACGTATAAATTGTCGTATGTTCTATATCTATCTTATCAATGGGAACTTATCTAACGTAACGATAAAAAATACTTAGATATACACGTGACACGTTTTTTATATCTAAATATAAATATGTTGGGACATTAACACACAACACTATCTAGTTCCATAGTAAGCTACGAGGTTTGTGTTATGGATACTAGATAGTTGATACACTACACATATGTAACTTTAAATAAATACATATTATAAATGTAAACAACACCAATGACTGGAGTACAAACATCGTGCTCATCATACAAATTAATGCCCCAGCAAGAATCGAGCCCGCGACCGCTGGCACAGCAAGCAGGGTCACTACGAACTGAGCCAAGCGTATCGTCAAACATATATCTATACATACTCGTCTATTAAAATTCAACTCAATCTGTACATTAAATATTTTTTGGAAAATTGTAAAATAGTTTTTCCCGCGACTTTACTGGTTTGGTAATATTTTGTGGAGATCAAAGGTATCATTGCCAAATATCCAAATCTATTCAGCGATTACTAATATACACACATACATACATACATACATACGGAGTTATTTTCGAATTTATAATATTAGCACAGATCATATAATACTAAGTATAGTATTATATGATCTGTGCTAATATACTACTACTAGTATAGTATTATATGATCTGTGCTAAGATACTAGCGGCTCACCCTCGCTTCGCTCGGGTTCGTCGCTAGGTACGCTTTAAATATATATAAATAGTTATTAGCTAGCGTTAGCCATATACATTTTAATTTTTATTTTGTCAATTTTTTAATTTTTCTTTCATAAGAACCTTCTGACAATAAAAATAAATAAAAATTAAAAACACTTCTGAAATAGACATTATTATCGATCGATACAGAGGCCGAATTTATAGTAGAATTTATTATTTAAAATTTTTGTCTGTCTGTTTGTCTGTCTGTTAGCGCATCACAGAAAAGCCACTGGAGGGATTTTGATGAAATTTGGTATGGTGATAGCTGGTTATCCGGATCAACATATATAATACTTTTTACCGCGGCAAAATGTCTCATTTCTGAGAAAAAATACAATAACTGCAATATAAGAGTATACTAATATGTAAAACCTAACAATTTGGTTTTTGGTCATCTGAATGCGGGCGGAGCCGCGGGCAATGCTAGTTATATATAAAAATGTACATAATGGATGCTTGTATGATAAAATATTAATTATTTATTTTGTTTGTCTGTTACAGGAAATGCCCAACGCGTCAAGTGTTCATACGTGGAGGAAGATCGCACTGTATTGACAGCTGCAGTGCAGAAACCATGTGCGGAGAGGTTAGAGTGCCGGAGTACCATTTAAATGTGAGTAGTTCCTCATTGGTCTAGTGGGTAGTAACGGCTGTTGATGAGGTCCTGGGGTTCGAATCCCGGGTTGGACCTAAACAATCATAAGGTTATTCTGTCATGAAATACTCAATAGCAGTCCAGAGTTGGTAAGTTGGCGGTATTTGTAACTCCGTGCTGAGACAGCACATTAAGCTTTGGATTCTTATTTTTGTTTTTTTTTTCAATAACGCTGAGAAGTGCATCTTCTCATGGTATGGTATGGCATGTTTCCGCAACTCGACGACTATGCGTGTGTCTTAATTTATTTTCGTGTTACTCCTGCCATCCCAGTTCCTCTAGGAAGTTCAGTATCAATGTTAGTGCTCAGTGCATCTTCGTATACCACCTGTACTTTAAAAATAGCTGAATTATTATAATTATGGGACTAATACTGTTTATGAAAGTTTGTATGTGTGTTTGCTTGTTACTGCTCTACCCTGAAGCCTGAAATTGCTGGACGGATTTGGATGTTTAGTACACAGATATATAGATTAAGAGCTGGAGTAAAATAAAGGCTACACATATTCATCTAGGCAGGCACCCGATCGGTAAGTCGGTACTTTATTTTATTACTAGCGACGCGCCCTCGCTTCGTTCTAGTTCGTCCCTAGGTACGTTTTAACGGTTAGTATGGAATAGATAAGCTATATAATATATGATATATAGCCTATAGCCTTCCCCAATAAACGGGCTATCTAATGCAAAAAGATTTTGTTAAATCGGATTAATAGTTCCTGAGATTAGCGCGTTCAAACAAACAAACAAATAAACAAACAAACAAACAAAATCTGCCTCTTTATAATATTAGTATAGATAAAAGTAAAACTTCCGAATGAAATTCTCCTAAGTAACCGTAAAAACTGCATCAAAAACAAAATAACAACTTTATTTTATACTTTTTTTAACAATATTAATTGTTCGTCTCATTTTTGTTGAAACGAACTTTTGTATTCGAAGAGATTGTAAAATAAAAGATGTCGTCCTTTGGATTACTGTATTTGATTTGCCACAAAATACTGAGTATGACGACAAGAAACAATGGTTATAAGAGTACAAATAAGAATAGGAATAAGAACAAGAATAAGGACCTTTAATATAAAATCACTGCCTTATATAGCTAACGTTCTGTCACTTCACTATATTGTCTATTGAACTCACAGATTATCCAAAACACTTCACATCGATGACCGTCTAATTAGGCACGGACCACACGATGTGGGCGATGGTAAAGTTGCCACGCAATAAAAAAAATAAAATTACTAGTCGAATCTCCGAAGCGTCGTGAATTTGATAAATTTTACACTGAATTTTAAAATTTTAGAGACTTTTTTTGTGTTACATAAAAGCTCTCTTACAATTGGATTTTTTAATAACGTCGAAGTGTGATACGAGTATATGAATAGTGTATAATATGAGTTTTATTCGAAAATATTTTATTAAAATCGTTGCTATTTTATTGACAAATTTCAACGAGGAGAATATTTTAAGTTTGAGTTTCGTGCGTATGTTTAGTTAAAAACAATTATCTTCATCTATACTGTATACATATAATAAAATTGTATCTGAGTCGAATCTGTACATTTAATATTTTTTTGAAAATCTTATTGAAATAGTCATTATTATCGATGCAGAGGCCTAATCTATAGTTTTTAGAATTTTGGTCTGTCTATCTGGGAACCCATCACGAGAAACCACTGGACAGATTTTGATGAAATTTCGTATTATGATACCTGGTTATCGAGGTCAACATATAGGATACTTTTTCTGCGGGAAAATATCTCATTTCTGAGAAATCTATTATAACAGTTAAAACGTATTAAGAGTCGAAGCCGAGCGAAGCGAGGGTGAGTCGCTAGTTAATAAATGAAATAAATAAATAAATTAGTAAAGATCTAGAATACTCATGATATCTATGCAAGAGAAGTCGGGGGTCGAAGTTAGAACAACTAGCAAATAAGACAGTATTATAATTATTTAATACTAGCATTGCCCGCGGCTCCGCCCGCGTTCAGATGACCAAAAACTAAATTCTTAGGTTTTACATATTAGTATACTCTTACAATGCAGTTTTTGTATTTTTTCTCAGAAATGAGTTATTTTCCGCGGTAACAAGTATCCTATATGTTGACCAGGATAACCAGCTATCACCATACCAAATCGTGATGCGGTAACAGACAGACAGACAGACAAAAATTCTAAAAACTATAGATTCGGATTCTGTATCGAAAATAATTTCTATTTCAATTGGATTTTCCAAAAAATATTTAATGTACAGATTCGACTTAGTTACAATTTTATTATATGTATAGATTACCAAGAAATTTCGTGACAAACAGTACTTTAAAGAATTTGATATAGTTATTTCTCTAAGGAGTAATAATAGTTTTATATTAAAAGTAGCTTTTCTATAGAACTATGGATTGTCTATAGTCGCTTAGGGTGCATTTTTAATGTCTATCAGTTCGTAAAATGGCTTTTCAAACTCTCCAATTGTAAGGATTTTAATAAAAGTTGTAATAGTTTCTAAACAAAAATATATCTATACATATAGCTGGTTGTCCGGGTCAACATATAGGATACTTTTTACCGCGGGAAAATATCTCATTTCTGAGAAAAAATGTTCTGTGTGTTTATGTCCCAAATAATATTTATATAAATATATATAACTTTAATATATATTTATATATATATATATATATATATATATATATATATATATATATATATATATATATATTTATATATATATATATATTTATATATATATATATATATTATAAATATAAACACCCATGACTGGAGTACAAACATATGTACTCATCACACAAATGAATGCCCCCAGCAGGACTCGAACCCGCACCGCTGGCACAGCAACTAGGGTCATTACAAACTGAGCCACACGTGTCGTCGTTCATGATGGAACTATGAAGATGACTTGTGCCCAACAGTGGACCTTAAAAAAGATGATTAAATTAGAGTTTCAATAGTAATAAAAGCTTATATTATTACCCAAAAACACATTAAAAGCTCTATTTAAATGACCTAAGTTCTGTTTAAAAAGGTATAAATTAAAAAAATATGTATTTTTGGTTGTAGGTATAGACGACACGACATAATTTTTAGAATGATTTGTTGTACACGCAACCCATGTTTCGTGGTACTATATATTTTTATACTATCTCGATAGTGTAGTGGTTAGGATGTACAGCTGCACATCTGGAGGTCCTGGATTCGAATAACTGCCTAGTTTTTCTAGCCGGTTAGTCATACATATGATACTTAAGATGATCACTCGAAAAACATTTTTTTTCATGCAAACCAAAAATTTTAATTAATTATATGTTTTAAAAATCAGTCACCACCTCCAAAATGTTGAGTAAATTCTTTTTTTTGAATTTTTTATAAGCTACAAATTCTACCTCCAAGCCAAGAAAAAAAAATTTTCGCTCCACCCTAATATGCATTTTCCAATATTGAAAAGGGTCAAGGCCTCTCTATGTACTAAACTTCATCCAACTCCATTCAATCGTTTCTATGTGAAAGAGTAACAAACATACAAACAAACATATTTTGCCTTTATAATAGCAGTCACGGTCTCGAGAAGCGAAGATGGACTATTGAAACTTAGTTATTTCTTGGAAGTCCTAGGATGAAGAAACTAAAGAGATAAAACTATCTTTTCGGATTATTTCGCGGATTTATATTGAATTTTGGTCCCCGACGTTTCGAATGCTTTACACCAATCATCTCGGGAAAGACGAAAGTTTTAGACGTCTCAAAGGCATTCATAGTTGTTACAGACAGTGCCTACCCACAATTTTACAAAAATGATTCAATTCAAAAATTGGCACCAAAATACCTTACAATATGTTTTTGCATTTTAATTATTTTAATAAGTATTAATAATTAAATATAGTATGTTATATAATTAAATAAAAATGTCAAATATCCATCCGCGTAGATCTAAAAAAGTATAATGAAGAGATAAAGTTTATCAGTTTTTATGGAGGAGATAAACTCCGGAAATACACATCATATTTTTAAAATTATTTTAACACCTCCAGGTAAATTTCTAAGAAATTAATTGAATTTCTAAGAAATCTATTGTTAACTGTAACGCCGGCGTTTTCGCGCTTGTGAAGAGATTAATAAAAGAAAACTACTAATGTTTGTCCAATAATTCGATCAAAATTTGTTTGTTGACAACACTAAAATTCGTCAATAGCTACTAAACAAAAAATAGAAAATCGGTTGATGAACAGAAGAGAAAAATGTACTGAACTGTTTTGTCTTTGCCTATTTATATATAAACTAGCGGCTCACTCTCGCTTCGGTCGGGTTCGTTCCTAGCTTCCTTTCCAATACAAACTTTCATTCACATTTTTACACCCTTAATGGATGATTTCCGGGATAAAAACTATCCTATGTCCTTCCCAGGGTCTCAAACTATCCTCTTACCAAACTTCATCTCGGTTCTGTAGATCCAGAGATTACTCCCAATGAAAATGAAATGCTGTAGGAACAGCGTCACAAACTCACAAACTTTAAATATTATTGGTATTTTAATATACATGAAAAAGGATTTGAAACTCCTCGCTAATAATTATTAAATAACCTTATCAATTATAGACAAGGAAAGCTGTTTCTAAAAACACTTTTTGGTTTTTTCTTTTTTATTATTAACCGATTTTTGATTCCCGACGTTTCGAATGCTTTACACCAATCATGGTCACAGGAGAGACTGAGGTTTTAGACATCTCAAAGGCGTTACTTGTTACAGACAGTGCCTACCCACTTTTTTACAAGATGATTTTAAAAATGACACCAAAGTACCTTAAAATAAATATTTGTTGATTTTAATTCTAAACATTTTGATTTTTTTATTAAGTATTATAATTAAATAGGGCAATATTATTTATTTAATTATTATAAATATTACAATCTTTTTTAAAAAACTTTATTAATTAATAATATTATTTAGTGTTGTTATTATTATAATATGTACTAGCGACTCACCCTCGCTCTTCTCGGGTTCGTCTCTACTTACGTATTAACGTTTACTATAGATTTCTCAGAGATGAGATATTTTTCAGCAGTAAAAAGTATCCTATATGTTGGTCCCGATAACCAGCTATCATCATACCAAATTTCATCAAGACCCGTCCAGTGGTTTTTCCGTGATGCGGTAACAGACAGACAGACAAAAATTCTAGAAACTATAGATTCGGTCTCTGTATCGATAATAATCTCTATTCAATAAGATATCCCAAAAAAATATTTCATGTACAGATTCGGCTCAGTTAGAATTTTATTATATGTATAGTAAAATATAATTAATCTGAATTACTGTTATTACGTTCGTTATAAATCACAGCGGGGCTAAAGCAGTTTTCTCTTCAATAAAATGGTAAAATGGAATCTTATATAACAAAGCCATTTTTCTTTCTAGCCTTGCTACGTTTGTAACAGTACGGGACACAACTGTAGGGAGCTAGCACGAGAGAAGGTCAAGTCGGAAGTTTCGAAGAATGCACTCAATTATGGCAGTGAAAATGCTGGTAAGATTCTAAAATTGATGCTTTTACCGATTTCAATACAAGGTTTTAATTGTATGTATTGTCTGTTTGTTTGAACACGATGAAGCTCTAAAACGACTGAACGGATTTTCATGCAGTTTTCACTAGCAGACGGAGTGACTCATGAGGAAGATTTAGGTGTATATTCATTAAGATTTTGTGTAAATTGGCTTTAATATGACGATGATTGTTGAAAATGTCGGAAACAATCTCGCCGGCTGGGGGGACATTATAAGGCTAATGGTTTGTATCTAGGGAGCGAAGCAAGGGTAAATTTTCTCTGGACTAGTTTTTTTATAAAACTATAAAAAGGTAAATGAATTCAAAGAAAATATTATTTTGTATTCATTGAAATGAAGAAAACTATTTCAGTTAATATGTAGGATGAATTTAAACAAAAACTGGGACCTAAAAACATCTAATAAACAAAAAATATATAGATAATAATTATTATTAACTAAAAAATATTACAGATAAAGGAATTGAAGAAGAAGAAGATTACAGAGAAGTAGAAGAAGAAGAAGAATTCATAGGCGTAGAGAATACAGACTTCGTTCTGTATGTCAGTGCGGTCGAGACGGACAGGTGTCGTCGCGGTCTGACAGTAGCTTACGCTTCACACTGTCAACAGGAGTCGGCTTTAGATCGGTGAGATTTGTTTTATTCTGGTCTTCTCTAGCGATACAATATGGATCTCTACATCCATATTTTCATACTATAGTATTATAAATGTGACAGTTTGTGAGCATGGGTGGATGTTTGTTACTCTTTCTGAATCACAAAAAAAAAATTATAATATTTTTTTTTATTTACAGCTTTATATTTTTAGTCAATTAGACATTTGAAGTTATTTTTAGCAATTTCTTATCCTAAATTATTTTTAAACATACAAATTTTAATACCCCACTCGATTGATTCGGACAAAACTAGTTGATTGGTGCCTAGGATTCGCCATTTTGATTTTTAATTATATCTGTATTCTATGACACACGCGCTATCAAGACGAATCTAACGACGTATGAATTATAGAAAAATCGGTTAAGCCGCTTCGTAATTACTAGTGAACATAGGATCGGATATACAAACATACATACATACACGTCAAACACATAACCCTCCTTTGGGCTTCGTCGTAGTTGGTAAAAATGATTATTTTAAGGAATATATTTCTATTTTCCAGCCCTGTAGCCGGCCACGCGAACTTTTGTCCCGGAGAGCTGTCTACTAAGTATAGAGACTTACCGTCCGTCTTGTCGACTGTCAAACACGAGATGTTGCACGCTTTGGGGTTTAGCGTTTCTCTGTTCGGGTTTTACAGGTGAGTTCATTTTTTTTATTATTTTTAGTTGTATGTATAAAGAAATGTTGTGTTTGTTAGCGTGTTATTTTTTTAAATTTGCAACAGAATTTAATCCGCAAATTAAATTAAAAAGAAAAATGATAGGATTTTGCGAGATAGCGATATGAATGCTATGTTATGGATTTTTTTCTTACTTCTTACTAATAGTATAAATGTGAAAATTTAGATGTTTGGATGTTTGTTACTCAATCACGCCAGAACGGATGAACGGATCTAAATGAAATTTGGCACAGAGATAGATTATAGTCTGGAATAGCACTTAAGCTACAGGCTACTTTTTATCCCGGAAAATGTAGGATTCTCGTCGGATAGATTTGTTATATATAAAAAAAAAGATCCTGGTTATGTAATTTATGCATAAATATTATAATAATTTTAATATTAAAGTGAAATTGCACGTTCTCATCATTTTTTAGTTAAATTTTTATGTATAAGACCATATTTATGTTTATTATTATAGAGATGAAAATGGTGAACCCTTGACCGAACGTCGTCCGGACACTGGAAACCCACCGTTAGATGAAGAGTAAGTAGGTATAGTGTTACCACAGTGTACTAAACCATACAGTCGTCTAACGAAGGCGTCTACACAAGGCATAGTGCGGGGGGAGATGCGGGAGAAATGCTCCCGACTGGCGTACATCTATACAGATAAATAGAATTGAAGTGTCTGTGTGTAATGTCAAAATAACAGCTGTTTACTAAATGTATATGGAATTAAATACGGTATTTATAAGAAAAACACCGTTTTTAAAATTTTTGTCTGTTTGTTTGTTTGAAAACTCTTGTATATGACAGCATTTTTGACATGAAAACTTGTATAGGCAGGTTTGCTTGGATGGGGAGTAGATTCGAGTAAGTCGTCATCGACATGGTCACGTGACGTGTTAACGCTAACACTCAGAATGAATAAACGCCGATAGATGAACACATACATATCTGTGTATTTAATATAGATGAATTTAATAATTTTACTCTATAAAAAAATTGAAAAAACAGGAGGTGTTTTACATTTTTTTTATTTAAGTGTTTTGATTTATGTGTCACAATCATATATCTGTTTTTTTGAATATAGATAAATAATAGTTTTACTTCTATATCAAAGAAAAATTATTTCCAAAAAAAAAAACTTCACAGATTACAAATCCACAAATGGTCTGATCGAGTCGTGAGAAATATAACCAGAAGCAATTGGATGATTCGACAAGGTTACATCTCGAGGACTTTCCATATGATTGTCACCCCGCGGGTTGTTAAAGAGGTATGTATGTATGTCAAATATCTAGGTTCGTTTATATTATATGAATTTAATTATTGTTAAATATCTTTTTACTTAATACTTTCTTAGAATCCCACGCGAATATTTAACATTAGTAATACAAAAAAAAAAACTAAAAAATTAGTACTTTTAAAAAAAAATTAAAAATTTTTTTTTTTTTTTTGTAGGTACGAGAACATTTCAACTGTTCCAAATTAGAAGGCGCAGAGTTAGAAGACCAAGGCGGGGACGGAACTGCGCTCACACATTGGGAGAAACGTGTTTTTGAAGTGAGTAATAATAAAAATATTTTCAGGAAAAATGCTACAAAAAAAGACATTTAATTTAAATTTTCGATTGATCGATTACATAATTCACTTATTATATCTATATATTTAGTATTTTTTTACCGTCCTATCACTGGGCACGGGCCTCTCTTCAATACAAAGGGATCAGGGCACAGTCCCTCACGCCGGCCAAATGCGGGCGAACTGAGCATGTCTGCAGAGAATTTGCTAGGTTCTCTCAGACATGCAGGTTTCCTCACCATGTTCTCCTTCACCGTAGGACAAGTGGTCATCATGTGTGAGAATGATTCGCAAATGAAATTATCAGAGGTGCGAGACCCGGGACTCGAACTCGCCTCACATTTTTTTAATGAAGAGATGTTAGAGTTTTTCAACTATAATCAAATAATTCACACTCTATGTATTTTTTTAAACATTGTGTACCTTTTTGAAGTTATGATTTTTTGGAACGTTTAGAAAAATTATGACAGTAAAATTTTTGCGATACGCGCGTACACCGACAGCCAAAAAGCGACATGATGAAGTTAGTTGATAACTGTTTGTTGCCATGGTAACCGTTGTTAATGTCTAAGAAATAATATATTCTTGCTTTGCTTCGAAATATTATATTATTTCCTTAAATGATATTCTTTAAATATATGATTGTAATATGCCTAATATGCGTTATTTAATTATTTTATTAATTTATCATTCCTTTTATAAACAGAGAGTTGTGACATACGGGATGAAATCTTTGGCTATTTTTGTTCTGTTACGTCAAAAAAGTATAATTTCTAACGTGCGTACATAAATACATACACACACGCGTTTTTTTTAAACAATACATATTATTTGTTTTAGAACGAAGCAATGACAGGTACACACACACAAAACTCAGTGTTCAGTAGGATAACATTCGCCATGATGGAGGACACGGGGTGGTATCTGGCGGACTACAGCAAGGCCACCCCCCTGCATTGGGGGAGGGGGTTGGGGTGTAACTTCGCCATGATGTCCTGCAAACAGTGGTTGGGGTCCCAGCATTTGAGGTAAATAGTTTTTTTTTGTTTTTTTTATATGTGCTGATTTTTTTTGTTGGGACGAAATGTTTTTTGCTTATTTTTTTAAGTATTTGATTTTGGAGTTTTTTTTTATGTAAGTGGTTATTTGGCAAATGTATGATGAAATGGGATATGATGATAAATGAGATAAGCGTATTATATTAATTTTACTGCGTTTTTTTTGTTCTTCGCTTCTTGTATTAAAATTTGTTATAATTTTTTTGTATTTTAATAAATACCTTTATATATTGCAAGCAACTCTACGGATAATTCTACGATGGAGTAAGTTATTTTTTCAGATAATAAAGTTAAATTTATTTTTATATAACACAACTGACGGATAGACAAATTTAAATTCATTATAATAATTTGTTTGTTTGTTCACCTAAATGTTAAAAATCTGAAATACTAAAAAATCTATAATGTAGAATATTAGTGTTTCTTATTATAGTTTTTTTTAACAATATCTTGACATTGAAATATTTTTTTTTTAAATTAATCTTATAAAACTCCTTCACTTACAAGCGATTCTAATGGAACAACCATAGAAATGTAAGTGGAATATATTATTACTATATAAAATTATTATCTAGTACTTACTTTTTTACGAGGTATTTTTAATAGGTAAAAAAAAACTATTTTGCGAAAAAAATACAACGTTAAGATTCGTTCATAAAAAATTATAAAGCGTGAGTCGGAATACTAATGAGTATATTCTATCCATTCACAATCAGAATAAACCTCTGAAATTTCAAAGTTATTCATATTATAATCCTACTAATATTATAAATGTGAAAGTTTCTAAGGATGGATGGAAGTTTGTTACTCGTTCACATCAGAACATCTAAACCGATCTGGATAAAATTTGACACAGAGATAGATTATAGTCTGGAACAGCACGTAGGCTACATTTTGTTCTAAGCTAAGCAATAATTCCAAGAAACTAAAAGAGAGTGAGTCGTTAGTCTAAAATAAATATCTACTCAATTACTTCCAGACGAAGAAACCCAGCGCCATTTTGTGAAAGGGTCAAGGGTGATCCGCTCCGCACAGAGTGCTCTCCTCATCGCAGTGCAGTAGTGTTGTGTAACCTCGTCCGTCACGACACCATCCTGCCCAGGCAGTATCAGGTAAGTAAACATTGGAAATTATAATAATAATAAAACTGTTAAAGTATTTTTTTAATTGATGTTGTGCCTGTTATCTATACTAATATTATAAAGAGGTTAAGTTTGTGAGTTTGTGACGTTGTGGAGGGTAATCTCTGGATCTACTGGACCGATTTAGATGACATTTGGTAAGAAGATATTTTAAGACTCTGGGAAGGGACAGAGGATACTTTTTATCCCGGAAATTATCCCTTAAGGGGGTGAAAATGGGGATGAAAATTTGTATGGGGAATCAAGCTAGTTTTAAATAATAGTATTTTTTCGGCGGTTTTATGCAAGCTTATACCAAACATGGTGGTGAGATAGATTTAAGCGAACATTACTAAAAAGAACTAAAATGTTTGATTGGTATATATTTGTTTTAACAAAACTCCGTCTCTCCAGCATTTCGACAGATTACCCAACATCCCTCCCGGAGACGAAGCTTACTATGGTGGGTCAGTGTCTCTTGCAGATTACTGTCCATACTTGCAAGAGTTCACTTGGAAACACAAAAATGTACTCATCAGAGGCAGTAGATGCTCTTACGAGGAAAATACACCGAGTAAGTGTTTTATGTTTGAAGCCTTGATTAAAAAGTACTACATAGATACACAATCAGTGACAAAAAACGTCCTCACTGAATGAGCGCTCATTTGAACATTTGAGCGCGCTTTTATTTTTTTTATTTTTTGTGAAAACAACTTTAAGGGTTGTATTTAAAGTTAAATTTACATTATAGTATATTTATTTCAACTAGAACAATTACCGAAACACAATCGGTGACAGTTTTAAAAGAACTTTGGCATGGGATTATGTATATCTAATAGTTTTTTGATCGATGGTTTTAAGTTTGTTTTTTTTGTTTTCGTTTTTCTAAGGTCTATTAAATGGCGGAATTATTTAAACAAGCCTTTTTGACTTTAGTTTGACTTAATTGAAGTTTCTTTCAAATCGAAACGCTCGCATATTTAGACAAATAATATTGTAGTGAAATCTAGAATAATGACTGTACGGGGAAGGTATTTTTAAAATGTTTTTGGTTTTGCTCGTGAAAGTGTTAATCATTTATTTAAATGTAGTGTTTTTTTTGTGTGTTGTGATATTTATGGTTAAATTATTATTTTTTTATTTACATTGTCCTACCACAGACCTCATTTGGTCTGATAATTAAAAAAAACTGGGTATTGTTTTTTAGTTCAACCAGTCTTATACCAGAGTTCTTTTTTTCTATAGACAATAACTAATATTTATATAGATAGAGATTAATAAGTAATAATATTTATTTCTAGAAAGTGAAGTGAACTTCGCCTTAGAGAACTACGGGGCACACTCGAAGTGCTTCGACCACAGCGATCGAGTTTGGGAACAGAAGTCTTGCAGACAGGTGAGAAATAAAACATAGATTTTTTTGTGTTTTTTTTTATGAAAAAAAATCATAAAAAAATTATGAATTTTTTCCCTTTCATAAATTACATTTAATAACAATTTTTCTATTAACATATTACATTTATTTAACTTTTTTTAATATTATGAAAGAAAAAAATTATACTAAAATAACAAAAATTTTGCAATTATACTTAAGTAAATATCAACAATATGTCCATATGTTTTTATTTTTTACAATTTTGTTTTATCTTTAGATACGCGAATGGCAACACTGGGGCTCTGGCTGCTACAAATATAAATGTGAAAGTGGACGAATACATATTGTGGTGAGCATTCCCATTAATGATTAGATTTTTTTTAAATTATTTTTTAATAAATTCTGTTCTATTTTTTATATTTCAGCGCGAAAAGTATATATTTTATCTTACTACTTAATTTTTTTAGACAACATTTTTTCCTATTAGAGTATAGATATTTTTTATTTTATTTTTTATTTTTTGTTACAGCCATATTGAATATATTTTTTAATATTAGGGTAAATTCATATAATTTATAATCAAATATTTTGTGTTGTATAGTGTATTAATATTATTATTATTTCATAATATCACCATATTTAAGAGTATTTTCTTTTGGATCTGCCATCAGTCACCTTCGAAAATATTAATAAAATACATATATACATTTTTTTTTTTCAATTTTTAATTATAATCAAAAATTTATCTTTATTTTATACATATATATTTTCCGCCCACAGGTCGGCAACTACACGTACACGTGTTACTTCGCAGGGCAAATTTTACAAGTTAGAATTATCCAAAAGGGCTGGCTCCATCGCGGTGGCGTTGTGTGTCCGCCGTGTAGAGAAATGTGTGCAGAAGAATTTGCTGTAAGTACGAGTATATAACACATATCAGAACAAATTTAAATAGACATTTACATGTTTGAATCAAGTTTTAGTTTTTAACCGACTTCCAAAAAGGAAGTTCTATGTTCGTCTTGTATAGGCAGGTTTGTTTGTATGGGGAGTAAATTCATGTGTCGTCATCGACATGGTCACGTGACGTGTTAAAGCTAACACTCAGAACGCCGATAGATGTCGAAACCAGATAAATGTGAACAGTTTTAATTTACATATTTTAATTTAAGATCAAACAATTAATTTGAATATCCAAAAATAACAACTGTTTGTTTATAGTTTTCAAGTTTTCACTTTTGTCGGCAGTCATCATGCTTTTGTTTTTAAGTATTTCATCCATATCCTACTAACGCGAAAGTTTGTGAGGATGGATGGATGTTTGTTACTCTTTGACGTGAAAACTACTGAACTGATTTGATGAAACTTTACAGCAATATAGCTTATACATCAGAGTAACGCATAGGCTATATTTTTTTAAATAATCATAATAATATACTAAACGTTAATATTGTTTCAGTCACGCAAAGAATATTGTAAAGTAGGGGAAGAAGCTCCCCCACCAAATTTATATCCAAACGATGTATTAGCATGTCGAGCTCCCGCTTTAAAGAACGCCGCCATTTTGTTGTTGTCGGCCATTTTGTGTACGTTTTACATGTGACTGTGAAAGTGATAAAGACTGCATTATTTAAATGTTTATGGTTTAGTTATTCTTACTAACAGATTTTTTGTTTGTGTTTTTTTCAATAAAAAAACATTACAAAAAGTTTTGGATAAGATATAAAAATGTATATGTTGAGTTATATAATATATTCAGTTTCACGCTATTTTAGCGAGCGCAAAATTAACTTTGTTTTTTATGGTATCATTAATAAAAAAAACTTATTTTTGCGAACGGTATTTATTTTAAGTAATATGTGGTGCAACCCTAGATGCGAAAGTCAGACTCGCACATGTCCATTTTTTTTTTAAATTTCTATTAGGCTGATTTGTTTGATTGCGTCCTAGTTAAAGTATTATTAAGAGTTCATTTAAATTATTTTAGATTTTCTAAAATAAATTTTGTTTATGGTGTGATTAAGTTGACAAAACTAGCATAAAAATAATATAAAAAATATATTTAAAACAAATAAATTTTCATAATATTGAATAAAAGAATTTCAAAAGTTATTCTAAGAATATTTTTTTACATCAACTTATTTACACCATATATGTTTTATTTATACATATTATGGATTGTAATTTTAATTATATGTTTTTTTTTGTATTTTTTTTATATACAAAATACCATAGCATGGAAAAAATCGACATGTCGGAAATAAAAAAAAAAGTAAAGTAATATTGTTTAGATAAAATTGTTTTCTGTAAACTGTGACTATCTTCAAAATATCTAGCACTTAAAATAGCACGTTTTTAGTTCTCAGTTTTCTCATTAAAAACATATATTTTTCACATTATAATTAAAGTTGAAAGTATTCAAAATTTTTGTGCAATAAAAATTTCCGCGGAATTTTTTAAAGATATTACCCCCAAACCTTTTTGAGGGTTCGTTTGGAAACGAAAAGGAGTAGAATTAGAGCTAAATTAGTCATATATTATGTAAGTTTTACTTTATTTATTAACCCTGAAAGCCATATGTTAATTTATTTTTAACCCTCTAATGTCTTAGTATTATTTTTGTTAGGAAAAAAATATAACATACTTTGACTGTACTTATTTTGATAAAATTATATTCGGTTGGATAAAACTATTTTTTTATTATGCCAAATAAAACTGTCTTATAAATTACACTATTGAAAAATTTCAAAATTGGTATGATTCATTATAAACATGACTAAAACGTTTGTTCACTTCAAAAGAGGGTGTTTTAAATGATGCCATTTGCATTTTAGTTTTTTAACCAACTTTAAAAATAAAGGAGATATTTACAACTCGTTTGTACATATTTTTATTAAACTTATATAATTTAAAAAAAAACTATAATAAGGCGGAATAATTACTAATAAGTTATTTTTAGGTATTTAAAAGTATGTTCTTTTGTTAAAAATAGGTCTTTTAACATCCTTTTGTGGGTAGAAAGTGGTGGTTTCTTTTTAATAAGAGGAGGTTTACGCCATAGTCAATTATGTTACTCACTTGACATGGTAGGATTTTCATAGGTTCACGCGAATATTTAACATTTATAATAAAACTAACTTTTCTGATATTCTTGCGCAAAGCATTCGGAATGTCGAGAACTAAAAAAATAAACAAAAAACCTTGAGGCTATCCGAATATATACTTTTTATTAAAACATATTTCGTTTTAAAAAATTTATTTTCAAGAAAAATTGTACGTGCAACTTTGAACGCATAACAATCTTATCATTTATTCAGATAAAACAATTTGCAAATAAATATATCAAAACAAAAATTTCATATCACGATTTACCGTCTTTGAAAAATACAGGGCTCATTACAATTTACCAGTTTTGAAATTTTTCAAGTGTAATTCAATTATGTATGTAATTCTTACTCTAATATCTGGATAAAGTAACAAAAGTATTTTTGAATATAAATTATTACTGTGCTTTAAAATTAGGTTATACTTTTAATTCAATTAAATGTTAGCATGAAGTGTGAACAACACTTAAGAATGTGAAGACTTAGCTGTATTGGTTTTACCAACACTTGAAATTTATAACATATTTCATTAAAAATGACAGTTTAATGGAATAAATGGTAAAAATGGCGATTGTACTGATTTATAATAAACATATTTTAAATACACACATTGTTTTATTTTTATTGACCTCTACAAATTTAAAAATGACTATTAAAGAAACTTCTTTTTAAAGTCAACCCATTTTTCACTCTTCGCAACTCAACATTTACTTTAATCATATGACTATTTTTTTGTTTAATTAAAGTATTAGAAGAAATGAGAAACAAAGCAAAGCTAGTTTAAATAAAAGAAAAACAAACATCCCACAAATGGTTACGGTTTTCAAAATAGTCTAAGTAGAGGAAAATGAAATATAAGAACAATTACTAGAACATCTCATACAAAAACATTGGACATCGCTATTTCGGGCTATTTTTGTTTGCTTGAAACGATAATAGATGTCGTTAATTCGTATACATATGAGTAAACTGAAATATGATAAGTATTATAAAATTCATTCTCAATTCAATTAAATAAATTTCAGCGAATTTAACCGTTTTTAATCGCTATAAACAAATCATAAAAACAAAAGCGCCATCTGTGAATGTGCAATAGAAACCACATTAACTAATTAACATTAATTTAACATTAATAATGTTTACTCTACCTGTGACATATTTATAGGTGGAAACTTTGCTGGTGTGTGGACTTTTTAGTTTTTTAATTAATTTTAAGAATTTTGTCACTGTTTGTTTCCCAAAAATAAATAAAATAAAAAAATAAAAATAAAATAATCGTTGATTTTTCATGAATTTCATTTACAAGTGCAATCTTTTATTTTCCTTTCAATATTTTTATACTATAATATTAATTTTTTGTATCTATTTTGTATATTTTAATAATTTTATACAAATCAATAATAAATCGAGACATTTAATGCCATCTATTAAAATTTATTTAAACTATTTTTTCCTTGTTTATGATAAGACCCCATGTAATTTTGTTATAACTATTAGTGCATACAAATTAAAAAAATAAAATATTTGACAGTTTGCGGATCAACGCCATCTATTTTTATATTCATAAAACAAAAATCTCCGAAGAATACCATGATTTAACCCCGTCTAATGTCCTCGTATCGGATGGGGCACTGCTAGCTTAAGCAAAAGCTAGAATTATTGTAATTTTTGGCTTACCTTGAAGAGCGTAAATTTTTTAATTTGGGTATGATATCCATACTAATATTATAAATGTGTGTTTGTTTGAATATTTGTCTTTCTTTCTCGTCGAAACAAAGTGACGGATTGTCATGATTTTTTGTGTAGAGATAGTTGGAGGGCCGGAGAGTGGTATAGGGTACTTTTTCCGCGGGAAAATATCTCATTCCCACGGGAAAACACGTTATAATACAACCCACAACAACTCATCTACCTATGTATATATTATTTATTATTAGCATTTTACAATTGGTATTTTAAGTTACATAAAATTTTAATTAGGTCATAATATGCATTTCGTAAAACAAATTAATTAGCATGGTCTCGACACACTTCATTAATCTGTAATTACGGTTAAATCATTACTTTAAATTAGTGCAAGAAGTATTTCACTTTCTAGAAATGATAAAAAGTTTTATTTTAGCGGTAATTTTCATCACAATCGGCTTAGCCTTTTGTCAATATGAGGGCTGTCAGTTTTCGTTTGGTAAATATATTCTATGTATAATAATAAAATAGATTTCACTTAATTTATATCTTATATTAATATATTTTTTCTCACAAATTTGTATTGAGTATTTTTATTTATTACTAGTATCACTCTAGTTTCGCTCGGATTTAAATCCCTAGGGTACGTTTTAATGATTAGTATGGTATTCCATACTTAGTCTACCTATTGATAGACTATAATATATATATAAATAGGTAGGTACAAAATAAACAGTTCTGAAGTTTTCGATTTTCTAGCTGTTTATTTATACTTAAACCACCCCTGACACACCCCTAACAAAACAAAAAGAGAATTATTCATATCGGTCCAGCCGTTTTTGAGTTTTAGTGAGATTGTCAGTCTCTGCATAAGGAAAGATCATTTTCTAAACTAAAAATATTTAAAAACTATCTCAGATAAACGTTGTTGCAAAGAAAATTGACAAATGTTTTATCGTTATTATACTCATAGTATTGGACATGAAATCAAAACTGAAGTCAGTGATATCGTTAAAGATGTTGCTTATGTAAAAGCACGAAAAGTAATATTTTTTGTAAATATATTTTTGTTGTCTTACATTATTATTTTTAAATTAAATATTTTTGAAATAGCTACAAAGTTGTGCTTTTTTATTCTTGTAACCCTTTCCTTCCTAAAAAATATTTTTCACTCGTTTGTTTACATTTGCACCCAAATTTCCGTTCACTGGTAAAAATATAACTTTAAGTATACCATTTTGACCGCGCGCCTACTAGAGGGCGCCAGGGTATTGATTGCACACGGGCGCCTCATGGGCTAGAGCCGCCTCTGGCATTAGATTAGGGTACGTGATATCCGAAAAGGTATTTATTTCCCAGCAACAAAAAATGGACCTTTTGGCTTTTGCTTTTTAATAATAATGACTAAAACCATTGCATTTATCTACAGGAGATCCTACTTGGAATTTTTCAAAGGTTTTTCACAATCAAAGCTACTATATTCCATCGGGCGTCATTACTTACCCCATCTATCTAACCGTAAGTAAATCTACTTCCATAATAACATTATAATTAATATGAAAGTGAGTTTGTTTGTTTCTCCTTCTTTCACGTCGAAACAGAGAGACGGATTGGCGTGATTTTTTTATGTGGACATAGTTGGACGGCTGGAGTGTGACATAGGCTACTTTTTACCGCGGGATATTATCTCATTCCCACGGGAAAACACGTTATAATACAACCCAAAAAATATTTATGATCAAAATTACTTGAAACTTGATATTATTGTTCTTCAATACAAATAAATAATTACGAGTTTTAGCATTTTTCAGAATTCATCCCATAAGGGGGTAAAATGGGGGATAAAAGTTTGTATGAAACCTACTTTTTTAGATTTTTTGTAGTTTTAACGCGAGCGAAGCCGCGGGTTCTGCTAGATGTATAATAATAAGCTATTCTTTCTATACTCTTCTTCGCTGTCGGTCAAAGACGCAATTACGTTTACATAACTCAATTACTGTGATTTTTATCGATTATTATCTTAAAGTTTAAGATTCAGTCTGATTTAACTGGTTTAAATTGTTTGTTTATATTTTTTGTGTATGTAACGTAATGTGCTTATCAAATGTGTAATCGATTTTCACAATTTCTAATCGATTTACATGAATCTTCATTATACATCTGGTGGTGGATATAATTTAAAAATATCCACCCCTAAGGAGATTTTTTTAAGGCATTTTAAAGTCAATTTACCTTTTTGTTAAGAAGCTATAAATCGTTGCTATGAGCTACTAGCGAAAAATCGTACTATTGACCTACCCCCGCTTCGCCCAAGTTCCTTTTTTATCCATAATAATAATTATCTAGTAATTAGTAGGTACATATTATATGATCTGTGATATTATATACAAGTAGCGCCATCTTTTGGCAAATTTTGTTACTCCAGCCTATATGTTACTCCAGCGCACAGTCATCGTTTATTAAATTCCATCCAAATCGGCCCTACCGTTTCAGCATGAAGGAGTAACAAACATACACACATACAAACTTACGCACTTATAATAATAGTGCATTGATATATAAACACATAGATACACATTTCTTAAAAAATATCTCATCAAAAAGTGGCGTCGACATGTGACGTTAAGTCAAACCAAAGAATAAAATTCGAAAACCATAAATTCTAATTGTCCAAACACAAATTCGAACTTACGCACACCACATAGAGTACTTTTTTAAACGAAACAACGTGCGTTTTAATTCTCAGTCATCCGAAAAGCAATGAACAAAAGAGATTTGAAAAAGCGCACAATTTCATATTGTGCGCTTTTTTTTTAGGACACTTTTGAGACCAATTGTGTACCTATCTTGTGTTTTTGTATACAAGGAACCACACTAGTGGGTTTTTTTTTCAGGAAACAAAATTAATGATATCTTACGTGTGTGTTAACATCACTAACACAAATATTAAAAAAGTGAACGTTTCATTTGCGAGTTTGTTCAAAAAAGTTACAATAAACTTTGAAGATCCCGATCATGGAGACGTTACTGCATTGGTTTTGGCAAAAGACCATTCGTATTAATGTGAATATGGCCTTAAATTGTAGAAATAAAGAAATATTCTAATAATATATTGTTTTATTATATTATTTCAATAAACTCTTTACAATAAAGCATTGAAATGCACTAGCGACTTAGCATTGCATCACTTGAATGCGTCCTTATAAGGTACCCTATGCCTATATGTGTGTGTATAAATGAATGAATATGTTGGTACATTACCACACAGCACCATCTAGTTCCACGGTAAGCTACGAGGCCTGTGTTATGGATACCAGATAGTTTATACACTACATAATAAATACTAATTTAAATACATACATATTATAAATATAAACACTCATGACTGGAGTAAATTCACTCGTGCTCATCACACAAATGAATGCCCACAGCAGGACTCGAACTTGCGACCGCTGGCACAGCAACTACTGGGGTCACTACAAACTGAGCCAATCGTATCGTCAAAATATGGTCATGATCGATATACAAAATTTGTTTTTAGTGTATCCCCCATAAAATAATCTTATATCTATACATATAAAATATAAAACAGTAATTTATCGAAATCGATGTGCGCGTTTCACGCAAAAAGTACAGAACCTATTTTAATTAAATTTTGTGTAGTGATAACTTATTACTCAGGCCAACATTTAGGAGGTATCTTACTACAGGAAAATATTTCTTTCCCACAGGAAAACACTAACTGGTTCTATAGTCATCCATAAAAAATTACATGTGTAAATTGCATCATACTTATTATTTACATATATCTAATACTATCTTAGATTTACGCAAATATTTGATATTTTAAATAAAACTATCTTTTCGGATTATTTGGCTGCTTATTTTGATTTTTGTCTGTAACAAGTATTTGTTGCCTTTAAGACATCTGAAACCTCAGTCTCTCCCGTGACCATGATTGCTGTAAAGCATTCGAAACGTCGGGAACCAAAAATCAAAATAAATCCGCGAAAAAATCCGAAAAGATAGTTTTGTTTATTTATATCTATTTAAAACGTATCTAGGAGTTGCTAGTTCATGATAAAATAATACTCAGATTTCTGAACACTGTTGATTATTTATTACGTGAAGAATACAACAACTATATAATAAATGAAATGATATTTATTTTATATCCACTAAAGTTATATCTAAAAATAAACTGTGCGATAGGAAGACATTTTTTCTTTTCTTTTGCTACAACATATATGTATAAATTAATTTTAAAAAAATCAAGTTTCTATGGAAACGTGTTAGAAGTGAAACCTCATTGGTTATTTATATTTAAAGTCTGAAAGATTAATAAATTAATAAAAAAATATGATTCAAACGAATATCACACAAAGAGGAGAGAATAAGATTTATCTCTTTCTATCTCGCTGTACTCTTACATCTGTCGCGTACACTGAGGGACGAGCCCGAGCGTGGCGAGGACTCACCCTCGCGCTAGTTAGGTACAAATGTGCAGGCATATTTGAAAACAAATTTGTAAAAATAGTAAGCTTTGAAGATAGCAACGGAAACAATATCATATATATCATTTTAAAAAAATAACAACGGTTACTATGACAACCTAATGCTAGCGGTTACTATGGCTACCGTGACGGGTTTTCGTGACGATTTCTCGTGACGCGACCTTGAAATTTTACTCTCATGCGCGCAAAGAAGTTTCACTTCAATAATATATAATTAATATCACCAAAAACTTTTAATAAAATTAAAATATTTAATCAACTTAATTAGTAAATAATTTTAATTTTTGGGCTCAAATGCATTAACATCACAAAATTTTGAGACTCAATTTTAAATATAAACTCAATTTTACATATAAATTTATTTTACATAAAACTCTCCAAAATTTTCACTAAAATAAATTAAGTATAAATTAAGAATTTTAAATTTATTTTTTGTTAATAATCTTAATAATTAAAGTCTTTATTGCCAAAAAATTATTGCTTATATCTACAGATTAATGCACTTGAGGCAAAGCTTGTAATATGAGTTTTTTTAATTAGTATATTCTTATCTTCTCCATTCCATATGTAAGTGCAAGGTTAATGAGAAAATAAAATAGAATCATTGTGTTCTATATTAACGACTAATCCTTGCTTAGCTCGGATTCATCCCTAAGTATGTTTTAACAATTAGTATGGAATAGATAGACTATAATATATGATATATAGCCTATAACCTTCCTCAATAAACGGGCTATCTAATGCAAAAAGAATTTTTCAAATCAGATTAATAGTTCCCAAGATTACCGAATTCAAAAAACAAACAAACTTTGCCTCTTTATAATATTAGTCTAGATAATATTGCCCTCTAAGTAGATTATATATGGCGCCATATTATTACATTATTAACCTTTTCCTTTTGTATAAAGGCGAATGCCAATTCTAATGCGATGATAAAAATTATACAAACTACAAGGCATTTTTTATTAAAGCCGAGTTTATATCATCTAAATTTAGATATGTTAAGCAGTTTTCTTGCAATATTTTTGACATATCTGCTACTTGTGCACTACTAAAGGTATCTGTAGGATGACAATGTGCCGTCAAATTTTTCCACCATGCTCCCGCTTCCAAATGCTCATCACATACCCTGACTCCATGTGGGACGTATATATTTTGTTGTAATAAAATATGTTTTCTCACCATTAAGTTGATTCTATGTAACGTCTTGTGCCTGCAACCTGGTATAATACATTTTGATGCACAAAATGGTATGCATTTGAAACCCGGGACAGGTACTAACGGCACAGTTGCTGGTGGTGGCATTTCTTGTGCTTGAGGAATGTCTTCGGGGAATACTTCATACTTCATTGGAACATTTTGGACATCAATTTGGGTATTAAATATTAGCGGATCACTTTGTGTTTCCGAAGGTTGGTGAATTTTGAGAAGATCCAAATTAGATGGGGGTAGCACATCAATGATTGCTGGTTGTTGCAATGCTACAGCAGTTTCCTGTTCCTCTTGAGCTTTTCTAGCTCTTAACACGTATCGATCTGCGCGTTGCAAACACGGTCTGCAAATTCTGTCAGTCGCTATTATCTGAAACACAATATACACATTTTAAAGTAACACAAACAATAAGTTTCTATTATAGTTTTATAAAATGGAGAATATCAGTATTATTGTCATATTACTTGATCAAACCTAATTTTCTTTCCTTCATAGATTATAATATCTATTATTACTTATTACCTTTTATCAAAAGTGAATAATATTTCATTTATATAATAATTTATGTACCAGCCGATCGTTAAATATGTGGTTAGCATATTCAATTATGTTTGGATGATCAGCTATATAGTATTTTGTTAACAAATATGATTGTATGGGTCGCTGTCTCCTTCGTCGCGGTCCACGAAGAGTGCTCACACCACAAAAAAAGCACACTTTAGCACCGATATGCATTTTGGATGACATTTTGACATTTTTTGTCGGAGTTTTTGTTTGACAATTCCTTTGTTTATATGTCACGACCGGAAGTAATGCCATAGAGTAAAAAATTTAAAGATATAGAGCCTCCTTTCATAGATGATAAAGAACTCCTTTATTATTTATGCGCGATAATATAGTTGTTAAATGCAAAACTAATTTGATATACAATATAATACTTTCTTAGAACTACGCGAATATTTGACATTTTAAATAAAACTATCTTTTCGGATTATTTCGCGGATTTATTTTGATTTTTGATTCCCGATGTTTCGAATGCTTTACAGCAGTCATGGTCACGGGAGAGACTGAGGTTTTAGACGTCTCAAACACATACTTTTTACAGATGGTGCCTAGATTAGCAGAACCCGCGGATTCGCTCACGCTAAAGTAGTGTAGTTTAATACAAACTTTCATCCCCTATATTACCCCCATAAAGGATGAATTTTGAGAAATTCTGAAATACGTATTTATTTAATTTTATTGAAGAGCCTTGATATCAAGTTTTAACTAATTCTGAACATAAATATTTTTATGGATTGTATTATAACGTGTTTTCTCCTACCTATCTCCTTATAATCATAAACTCCTCTCATAACACTTACAAAGTTTCAAAAACAGTTCAGATGAGAAATATAGGCAAAAAAGCTCAGTGGATGACAATATTTTACTAGTACAGGTCTGTCCCATCTATACATATAATAAGATTGTAACTAAGCCGAATCTGTACATTAAATATTTTTTGGAAAATCTTATTGAAATAAACACTTTTATCGATACAGAGGCCGAATCTATAATTTTTAGAACTTTTGTCTGTCTGTCTGTTACCGCATCTCAGAAAAGTCACTAGAGGGATTTTGATGAAATTTAGTATGGTGATAGCTGGTTATCCGGTCAACATATAGGGTACTTTTTATCGCGGGAAAATGTCTCATTTTTGAAAAAAATAACAAAAACTGCATTGTAAGAGTATACTAATATGACGTAAAACCTAAGAATTTGGTTTTAGGTCATCTGAACGCGGGCGGAGCCGTGGGCAATGCTAGTACCATATAAAGACAAAGAATGGAAGGTCGAATAATACGGGTTATTTTACTTGAAGCATATTATGAATGATAGTGGCGTTTACCGGAAATCTGTGCATTTATTTCGTAGAAAAATGCAGTTTTTTAAATTAAAATATACATGTAGGGTATTTGTTTTTAATTTAACATAAAACCGATTAAAAAAGAAAAACAAATGGATGGCGGTTTAAATGGTGTAACCATTGCCAAATAACCATCATATTTTATGTCCAAAAATCAAATTAAAAAGTAATTATCGAATAGATTAGTTTTAATTTATTACATTCATTTGAAACATGATTTCATACAAGAGTGCAGTATATTTATTATTTTTAGGTACGTACATTTTTATTTTGAATAGGTAGATTTTAAAATAATTACTTCTCAACTAAAAAGGAATATTGACTTCGAAATGATTTAAAAGTAAAAAATCTGCTTGTATATAATATTGGATATGGTTAGGATATCCTTTAAAGCATTCGTTTAAAAAAACAGCTAAAAACATACGGTGCACACACACAAGCACCTAAATCTCTCAACTGCTTGAACTTCTCTGTTCAAGAAATTATTTGACAAACATACACGTCTATTCTGCAACAAGTTACGCAGGCAGGCGAATAGTAAGATTAAAAATTTTAAAAACCCCCTACGCAAATTAATTGTCATTTAACGATTACTTACACTGGCACGCGTGAAGCACTTAATCGACTAATCATACGCTAAAATGCCTTACATCATTTTGGAAAAGAGCTGATACTCTTACACTGCTGGACCGATATTAACCAAACATAGCTAAGAACCACCGCAAGGAAACTGGCTGTGTCGGCGACGGAAAACCTATCTTCGAGTGACGTGTGTATTAATATAGGGACAATGTCATTTTAGCGTATTATGAATAATTGTTGTAAATATGAAATCTCATTCTTATTAGATTTATTATGTTAAAATAAGTTCTAATTAGTGTAATAAGGTTAGTTTAGAGTATTTTTTGCTTATTTGAATCATATAAGACTATTTAACATTAATTTGAAAGGAATAGGTACGTAAGTAAAATGTTAGCATATAATTACGTAACTTGAAAATGAGATTTTTTGTTTCTTGCAATAGCATAATAGTTTATGTTTTAAATAATAGATTTTATTATAAAACTTATAATAAAACAAGAATTAGGTCGATAGGACTATCCGTTCAAAAGTTATAAGGGAAAATGTATAGTAAAAATGTAGCAACCTAGAAATTTAGATATTTTTGTTTTAAGACTTTTTTAATTAATTATTATATATTGAATATTATGTTTTAATATTGTATAATAGTATGTAAGGCATGTAAATAAATAAATATGTGTAAGGTGTTTTACTGAAAACATAAAATAAAAGGACTCTCAAGGTTTCGGTTTAGGGAAATTTTATTCGAAAAACGAGCTCAAAGTACGCGGCTCTCTGTAAGGTATTAACGGGCCAAATAAAAGGCGAGCCATTTCTCGATTCGAGTCAGTCGCAAGACAGCCACCGAAGAGGCAACAACTAAAAGGAAAAGGAAGAACCGAAACCAAGAGAGAAAAAAGGAAAAATTGTGTTTTTATTTCATCGCCTCTAAGTATAGTCTCCTGTCAACGAAGAAACCCTAGTGGATCGGGACCCAAGCTACGCATTCAGGGGTGCGTGGTGGCGTACATTACCAGCGAACGGACATACTGCCGTGTACGCCAAGAACGTCTGGGAGATTGTCCCAGGTCGACCTCCGGGTACTAGACATACCCTGGTTCTGGTCGTCCGAAACAGTTGGTCCTTCGAGCCGGATTCCTGCTAGAAGAAGTTCAGAAGAAACAGAAGATTGCGTTCAAGATGCCGGTAACCAGGTCGCAGAAGGATGCCCCCTCACGTCCCGGGTCCCGTCCTTCAGATAGGGACGCGACAGATGGAACGTCGGGATCAGAAGGGGTCACGTCAGCGTCGGCGTCATCGGGAACTGCAACTACATCGAACACTTCTTCGGGTACCACGACCACGGAGGGCACCACAGTGACGGAGACTACGGTTACGACTGCAACTACGGCGGCGTCTATGGAAGGCAACAAAGAAGATGCTGCACAGAGGATGACCAGGAAGAGCCAAGAAGATGTACCTGGAAAGGATGTTCAAGGCTCCTCCAAGACCCTGAAACCGATGGGGGTCAGTCGTCGCGCCAGGTCCACGAAGACCACGAGTTCCTCGGCCAGAAGACGCGAGCTAGAAGCAAAGGAAGAGTTGGCACGCCTGGAGTTGAAGCAAGCACAGGCTGAAACTAAGCTAGCCCGTGTCAGATTGGAGATGGCACAGTGTGAAGAAGAGGACTCCGTGGATGAAGACCTGGAAGACAGAACAGCACAGGTGCAGAACTGGATCGAGACGTCTGTGCTGGAGGATGGCAACAAAGTTCAACCAGAGATGCGAGGTCCACACCCCTTGGAAGAGCCACAGAAGATGAAGCCTGAAGAGAACTCCTCAACGAGAGGAGCTACGATTGAAATTCAAGCACTGACGGCAGCATTGAAGGAAGCTCTTACCACGCGAGGACCAGCAGGACAGCCAACCTACATTCACGAGTTACCCTACTTCGACGGCAACAGCAGCGAGTGGATGGCCTTCAAGGTTGTCTATGAAGATACAGCACCGATGTTCAACAACGTCCAGAATATGGCTCGGCTAAGAAGAGCACTGAAGGGCAACGCAAGAGAAGCTATCAAGAGTCTGCTGTACTCCGAAGCCTCTCCGATGGAAGTGATTCAAGCCCTCAGAAGAAGATATGGAAGACCAGATGCACTGGTGCTGGCAGAGTTGGACAAGGTCAAAACGTTGCCGAAGATTTCTGAAAACCCAAGGGACATATGCCTCTTCGCGAGCCAGATCAGCAACAGCGTAGCGGCAATAAAAGGATTGAAGAAACCACAGTACCTGCATTCACCTGAGATGGTGAAACAAATTATTGAGAAGATGCCTACGATCCTCAAGTTCCGATGGTACGACTTCATTGAAACAACAGAAGAAGGCGAGTTCTCCGACCTAACACTGGTGTCCAAGTTCCTGAACAGAGAAGCAGACAAGTGTGGAGCCTATGCATCAACAGAAGAGAAGAGCGGGTTCAGACGGACTCATCGACAAGCAACGCATTCAACTAAGGAAAAGGACTTCAAAGAAAAGGTTTCAAGATCAGAGAAGACTTGCCCCATGTGTGAGAGTGAACACTTCCTCGTCGGGTGTCAGAAGTTCCTGAAGGCGTCTGTGCAAGATCGATGGGCAATAGTGAAGAAAAGCCGCGTTTGCTTCAAGTGTTTACAAGGGACACATCGGAAGGAGAGCTGCAAGAAGCCGTCGTGCAAGGAATGCAAGAGGTGGCATCATCATCTGCTGCACGTCGAGACAGAGAAAAGTTCCTCGGAAGAACAGAAGAACAAACCACAAGAAGTGGCGAGCATCATGGCATCGGTGAATGCGGTCAACAACGCAAGGGCATACCTGAAGATAATTCCGATAGAAATCTTCGGGTCAAAAGGATCAAAGAAGATATTGGCCCTCATGGATGAAGGGTCAACAGTGTCGCTGCTAGACCAGAAGGTAGCAGAAGAAATCGGCGCTCAAGGAAGAAAGGAGGAACTGGTCATCGAGACTGTTGGAGGCAGGCTGATAAGGAAGGAAGACTCTCAGATGCTGGACCTTACGGTGAAGGGGATTCATCAGAAGACCAAGAAGACCTTGAGAAGAGTCCGGACCATCGACGAGTTGAAGCTTGCACCGCAGTTCCTAGAAAAGAAAAGGATAGAAGAGTGTCAACACTTGAAGAAGATTGCTGACTCTCTATATTATAAGGGGGAGTCACCACAGCTGCTCATCGGTCAAGACAACTGGGAGCTAATCGTGACTCAAGAAGTAAGAAGAGGGAAACCAGGACAACCAGTTGCTTCAAGAACAGGACTTGGATGGGTGCTCCACGGGTCAGACACTGGAGGCGCGAAAGTGGTGCACTTCTTAAACACGTGTCTACATGTCAGCACGCCAGAAGAAGAGATGCATCAAGCCATCAAGGATCACTTCGCAATCGAAGCACTTGGAGTACTACCAAGAAGACCCACTACGGATTCAGAAGGAAGAGCACTCACCATCCTAGAGAAGACCTGCAGAAGACTAGAAGATGGTCGATTTGAAGCTGGACTTCTATGGAAAAATGAAGATGAACAGATGCCTGAAAGCTACACGTCTGCCAAGAACCGATTGTTCAACATTGAAAAGAAGATAGACAAAGACCCTCAGCTGAAGGCAGAATACAATAAGCAGATCCAGCATCTAATCGACAGTAAGTATGCAGAAGAAGCACCTGGTGGACAAGAAGATGCAAAGAAGACATGGTACCTCCCTCATTTCTCCGTGGTACATCCATTGAAGAAGAAAATAAGGATCGTCTTCGACGCTGCAGCCAAGTCTAAAGGGAGAAGCCTCAACGACGCTTTACTACCGGGACCAGACCTACTGCAATCGCTCTTCGGGGTATTACTAAGGTTCCGGCAAGGCCCGTTTGCAGTGGCAGCCGACATAAAGGAAATGTTCCTGCAAGTTCGCATCCGGCCAGAAGATAGAAACAGCTTGAAGTTCCTGTGGCGAGGGGATCGTCGTGACGTAGCACCGAAGGAGTACAGAATGACATCAGTCATCTTCGGCGCGACATCATCTCCTAGCACAGCGATCTACGTGAAGAACCGGAACGCGGCGGACTACAAGAAGCAGTACCCAGAGGCAGCAAAGGCAATCGAGCTGAACCATTACATGGATGACTACCTGCACAGCTTCCATTCAGAAGAGGACTTCAAGAGAATTACAGCGCAGGTGGACTTCATTCACAAAAAGGCGGGCTTCGAACTCCGAGGATGGGCGTCAAACCACTCCGACCTGCTGCAAGACGTGAAGACTGAGTCAGTTGAGAAGACAGAGGTGGACCTTGGTGAGAAGGAAGAGAAGACACTGGGACTACGCTGGTTTACAGAAAGGGACTCCATAGGCTTTAGGGCGAACCTTCGGAACACGCCAGATGAAGTGGCACAAGGACTCAAGGTACCTACGAAGAGAGAAGTCACCAGCGCCGTGATGTCGACCTTCGATCCACTAGGGCTAGCATCACCAATTCTCATCCAAGGCAAAAGGCTGCTCCAGAACATATGGCGAAGTGGCGTCGGTTGGGATGAAGAGATAGAAGAAAAGGAGTACGAGTCATGGAAGACTTACCTGGAGAAGATGAAGCTGCTCCAAGACCTTCAGATCCCGAGATGTCTGGCACCACGTCGCACCGAGGGGGAGCTGCACACGTTCACGGATGCAAGCGAAATGGCGTATGCAGCTACGGTATATTGGAGAACTGAAAATCAAAATGGGACTTATGACGTCAGCTTAGTAGCAGCAAAAGTAAGAGTCGCTCCGTTGAAGCCGGTGTCAATCCCGAGACTCGAGCTGCAAGCGGCCCTCCTAGGAAGCAGATTGGCACACTCGGTCGAGGAAGAAATGGATCTGAAAATAGAAAAGAAGACGTTTTGGACAGACTCCAGTATCGTGCTATCATGGATCAAGACGGACCCGAGAACCTTCAAGACATTCGTGGCTCATCGCTTGGCGGAGATAGAAGATCTCACAAAACCACAGGACTGGAGATGGGTACCGACGGCGCAGAACCCTGCAGATGATGCATCACGTGACGTACCAGAACACTTCGACTGCCAACACCGATGGTACACCGGACCAGGGTTTCTAAGAAGAGATGAAGTTCACTGGCCTGCGGCAAGAACATTCAAGAAAGAAACCACTGGCGAAGAAAAGGCAGCGGACATCGTAGCGACTGCAGGCAGCTCCTATCCATCACCAGATCCCGAAAAGTTCTCGTCGTGGAAAAGACTTTGGCGAGCTACAGCAAGAGTACTGCAGTTCATACAACTCTGCAGAAGAAAGGAAAAGGTCCACGCCAGCAAAGAAGATCCTACCTGGAAAACTACAAAAAGGAATAAGAACATTGTTGAGAAGCGACATCTGTCTTCAAAAACGTCAGAAAGGAAATACATACCATTGGAAACAAGTCTACTAGAACAAGCTGAAACGCTGTTGTTAAGAAGAAGTCAAGAGAAATGCTTCAAAGAGGACATCAGGTGCCTACAGCAAGGAAAACAATTAGAGGGCAGCAGCAAGTTGAAAAGGCTCGACGTAGTGCTAGAAGAAGGTCTCCTGCGACTGATAGGAAGAATCGACGCGATACGAGGGGTTACCAGAGACTACAAACGACCCATCGTACTCGACAGCAAGGACAAGACAACACTTCTCATCATAGAAGAATTTCACTGCCGCTTCAATCACGGGAATCACGCGACCGTAATGAACGAAGTAAGACAACGCTTCTGGGTGCTAGGACTGAGGTCAGCGATCAAGACCATTCAACATCAATGCCAGTGGTGCAAAACAAGAAAGGCAAGACCTCAAGAACTACCAGTGGGCAACTTACCTGCTGAGAGGCTGATGCACGGAAACCCTCCATTTACGTGCACGGGAATAGATTACTTCGGCCCTATGACGATCACCGTAGCAAGACGCCATGAGAAGAGATGGGGTGCTCTATTCACATGCTTAACAACACGAGCTGTACACATTGAGCTCACTCCTTCACTCTCCACTGACAGCATGATCATGGCACTACGACGATTCGCCGCGAGAAGGGGAATGCCAAAGATAATCTACACCGACAATGGCACTAACTTCGTTGGCGCCAACAAAGAACTCAAAGAAGCACTAGACACCATGAAGCAAGAAGACCTTATCTCGGAAGCGGAGAAGATCGGCGTGCAGTGGAAGTTCATACCTCCTGGTGCACCAAACATGGGAGGTGCATGGGAGCGTCTGGTGCGATCCATTAAAATCGCACTGGACGCCACGCTCAACGAAAGGCAACCACGAGAGGAGGTACTTCATACCCTCCTGTTAGAGGCCGAGCACATAGTCAACTCTCGGCCCCTCACCCACCTCTCCGAGAACCCTGAAGAAGAAGCACTTACACCGAACCACTTTCTCATCGGGCGATCATGTGGCGCAGCAAGAATCGGCAGCTTCGAGGACAACGAGCTTGTGGGCAGACACACCTGGAAGGCTACGCAGCGACTTGCCGATCACTTCTGGCAACGTTGGCTGAGAGAGTATTTGCCCACTCTACTACCAAGGAAGACCAAAGGAAGAGTCAGCGCCACAGATTTGCAAGTCGGAGACATCGTACTGATCGTCGATCACAGCCTACCAAGATGCATCTGGCCACGCGGAAGAATCCTGCATGTGTATCCTGGACCAGACGGGCGGACCAGAGTCGTCGACGTCGAGACCAGAGGAGGTGTTCTACGGAGGCCCAGTTCGAGAGTGGTGCTGTTGGTGCCGGGAGCGTCGCCGAGTCCAGGAGTTGGTGCAAAGCACGAGGGGGAGAATGTCGGCGACGGAAAACCTATCTTCGAGTGACGTGTGTATTAATATAGGGACAATGTCATTTTAGCGTATTATGAATAATTGTTGTAAATATGAAATCTCATTCTTATTAGATTTATTATGTTAAAATAAGTTCTAATTAGTGTAATAAGGTTAGTTTAGAGTATTTTTTGCTTATTTGAATCATATAAGACTATTTAACATTAATTTGAAAGGAATAGGTACGTAAGTAAAATGTTAGCATATAATTACGTAACTTGAAAATGAGATTTTTTGTTTCTTGCAATAGCATAATAGTTTATGTTTTAAATAATAGATTTTATTATAAAACTTATAATAAAACAAGAATTAGGTCGATAGGACTATCCGTTCAAAAGTTATAAGGGAAAATGTATAGTAAAAATGTAGCAACCTAGAAATTTAGATATTTTTGTTTTAAGACTTTTTTAATTAATTATTATATATTGAATATTATGTTTTAATATTGTATAATAGTATGTAAGGCATGTAAATAAATAAATATGTGTAAGGTGTTTTACTGAAAACATAAAATAAAAGGACTCTCAAGGTTTCGGTTTAGGGAAATTTTATTCGAAAAACGAGCTCAAAGTACGCGGCTCTCTGTAAGGTATTAACGGGCCAAATAAAAGGCGAGCCATTTCTCGATTCGAGTCAGTCGCAAGACAGCCACCGAAGAGGCAACAACTAAAAGGAAAAGGAAGAACCGAAACCAAGAGAGAAAAAAGGAAAAAATTGTGTTTTTATTTCATCGCCTCTAAGTATAGTCTCCTGTCAACGAAGAAACCCTAGTGGATCGGGACCCAAGCTACGCATTCAGGGGTGCGTGGTGGCGTACATTACCAGCGAACGGACATACTGCCGTGTACGCCAAGAACGTCTGGGAGATTGTCCCAGGTCGACCTCCGGGTACTAGACATACCCTGGTTCTGGTCGTCCGAAACAGGCTGTCAAATAAAAAAAACCGTAGGTATCGAAATCGGTCCGTCTGTTTGATAGCTACGATGCCACACACAGACACAAACACATACACACAGATAGCCAGACAGACAACGACATCAAACTTATAATACCCCTCGTTTGGCGTCGGGGGTTAAAAACATATGCTCTAACTAAAAACTGGAACTAACACACAACCCAACAATATAAAACAATAAAAAAAAAGTTTCAGGTATTTTAGGTGCACAAAGTTATGTGCTGGTCCAAGTTCGAAAGGACCAAAATAACTCCAACGTGGACGCATTAATCCATAAAGTGGTCCCTCCAAAAAAGTTCGAAGAAATAGCTGACACAGCGCGAAAGCAGTTCAAAAATTTTAAGCAATTTACAATAAAAAATAAACCTAATGATAAGGAACTAGACAGTATTGTCTTTGCTATAAAAACCGATGAGCAAAATGTCGGACGAAGACAAGATGGAGGACGTCATAATCGAGGATGGCAAGATGGTGAACAGCAAAATGGGAATGAAATTCTTACATATTTATTTAGGAAATTTTTAAGTTTCTATGAGTCTCCAGGACAAAGAAATCTTCCGCATTATAAGGCACAACTGCAAAAATATAACATTAGTAAGTTAATTTTGCGTCACCTAGCGTGTGTGCGCGGCTCTGCTCGCATAATATGCTCAAGTATTTCCCGGCATCCTGCTTCGGCAGACCAACCGTTAGCGTATCGTGCTTTAGTGCGTTTAGTTGCGTTTTAGTGCTTTTAGCAATCTTGCCCTATTAAGACAGAGAAGGTCCCGTTCAGTTTTAATGAGTAGTCAATCGATTATTATTTAATTGAATATTCCAAAATTAACAAAACAGTAATGGAAGGGGGAACTTGTTTAATGTGACTTTTTTCTAACTAGGTAGTAAAAGAGTAACTAATTCGCTAAATCATATTGTTCATTTTTTTATTCCAGAACCAAAAGTAATAACTTTCAGAAATAGCAATGGAAAGCCGTCAATGATGTACGAAATTGATACTAATTCAGTTTTAAAATCCATTAAAGATACGATTTCTTCGAAAAAGTTCAGAAAGTACACTGAAAAGTTAGTTAATAACGCTGCCATCGTATATCGTACGATGAGAGAAGAACTGCACAAAAATTAATCAACTACTATGCTGGATTCACACGCTTGTCATTTGCTACAAAATACAAATCTACAAACGCACAAACGTGTGGATACATCGCGTAAATTTTCTTTGATTTGTGCACCAAAACTAAACCGGTTGGAACGGCTACAAGTCCTTTCAAACCTACAAAAGCCAAGCCAAACGTACATGAATTTGTGATGGCTTGTCAATGCTTTGCGAGAGTGTGGATTCGGCATTACGTATAAAATATAGAATTATTGACATAGCTATTTTATTAAAGTAGGAAAATAGTTCCAGTGCGACAAATAACATCCATCCAAAAAAACTACGTTTCGTAACATGAAACTTATCACGAAGAAAATTGGTCTGTTCCGCAGAAACTTAAAAGCTTATATTAAATATATTAAACTTGTCAAATAAACAATTTGTTTCAAAAGAAAAACTAAAATATTCTACAACACATAAGACCTAATTTACTCATTAAAAAGAATTTTGTTACGTTTACAAAGGCAATAAACCCCGATGCTATCTATATATTTCAAAAGTGCCATCTAGCGTTCGAAGTACACGCCTTAGTTTCAAAACTAGCATTTCTATCTCGGTTAAGTCTCAGTGAGTTAACATTAGCATGACTAAACTATTTCTCCAATATATATTTGATAATATACTCGTAAATATATAGAAAAAAATAATTAATTACCTTACCTTGTACATACTTTCGGTGGCGAATTCTACATACGGATAATTTTTTTACAAACAAACACGAAAAAAGACACACAAGTAATTCTAGAAGATTCTTATAAGATGTATATATCTATACTCTTTGTAAGATCCCCTTAAAGATTATTTTAAGTTTATTGATTTTTTTAAGCTACAAACACGCACAAATATACTCTCAGTTACAAGTGACACAAAAGTGCACAATCACATGCCCAATCCAGTACAAAGAATGCGAATGGCCTATCGGTTTTTCAATGGTTTATTAAATGGACGATAGATGGCGTTAATCCGCATTCCGAACTATTTAGTAAAAGTCATATTGCATTTAATGAAAGAAAATTTAAGTTGCTTAAATTATTAATTTAATTCGATTGTCAAACCAAAACAACTCATTAAAATGTAAACAGCGTCATCTATGAATATTCAATATATTTCATAACCTAATGGAATTTTTTTCAATAATATATTTTTTTAATGAAATTTGGCATTAAATGTTTAAAGAAGCGCAATGAAACTAGTGCATGTAGGTAAAAGAATAGTTATATAAACAAAAAATATTACTGAATAGCGACTCACCTGCGTCCCTAGTTACGTTTAAATTTTTTTGAGCGGAAATCTAATTTTTTTTCTAAAATAAAAGTAGCCTATGTTACTCCCTATAACATTAGCTATCTTCCAGTGAATGTCCCGTCAAAATAAGTCCAGCTGTTTCAGAGATTATCCGGAACAAAGACATTTTTTTTTTAAATTGTTATTTTCTTATAAGTACCGTATATAATGTCATATGCATTCAGTAAAACGCTGTTATTTTAACATTACATACAACATAGATTAGCCGGGACATATGGCTGTCACATATCCAATATATTTTTTCAAAATTTTCCAAATTTTATTCTAGCTCATTTATTGTATTATGTAAAAAAAAATAAGAAAAAAAAACACATATTTATTAAAAAAATAACACTTTATTTCACATAATATAATTATAAAATGTTTAACTAACAATTCAATACTAAAGGCACTTTTAAGGTATAGGTAAGATAAAAATAAAGACATAAGATGAAATATAGATAAAGATATTAGATAGAAAATGCAATAAATTGAAATTTTATAAATTAATAGGAAAATACAATATTAATAAAGGTTAATATTCATAACATAACATAGATTAAAAATAGTGTCACTATTAATATTAATACTGTCACTATAAAATAAAATTATTAACTATACTATAGTATACTGGATTTTTTTAGCATTGATTATATTAAACATTAAATGAATACAAACATTAAAATGTTGGACAACTTAAATCCATATAATGTGAAGAGACATTATTGTCTGCAGTTTTTTTTTTAAATATCCAGCTGCGTTGCAACTTTGCTAAATATTTATTTCTATTTAATACCTTCTATATGTTACTGTAAAATACTATTATTGGTAAATCTTAGGCTTTACCAACATTAGTTAGTTAAAAGTAAGGTTTTTATAAAAATATAATCATACGTATACACAATTAAGATATCTGTATATAACAGGTACCACTAAAAATGCGTTAGTTTACACCAGGGCGAAATCAAGTGGGAAAAATCATATTTTAAATTACACTTAATAAATTATAATAAAATTACAATAAGATTATTTATCATAGTCCCAGATTAAAAAGATAAAAAAAAATTGGTTTTGTTTAATATTATTAATTAACTATAATACTGTTAATAATGTCATTTTTTAATATAATATCAATTATTTTTAGTCGAATTTTGTTGTTAGTGCGTTATAATGACAACACTACATAACATTTTTGTACGAATTTATGGCACAAATAAAATATAGAATAATCTCTATATTATTTTATAAAAAATATAGGAAAGATTTTTCACCTTTCATATAAAATGTTAAAGATATAAAACATTATCATTACAATCCGAGTAGCTACTAACAGTCGCACTATTATCCTGTATAGTGTCATAGTTAATTTTATGCTTTTTCCCATTTATATGTTCTAAAATTATATGTTTTTTGTTAGGAATAACTAGATTACAAATAAGGCAATTTAGCGTTGTGTCGTTTACCTGAAAATAAAAAATGTCGTTTAAAAGAAAGAAATCACGGACAAACGAATCAGGTAAAAAGTATTAATAATAATTTCCTTGTAACTGATATAGGTTACGGCAGCCAATCCTATGAGGCAACTGCAGGAGATATTATAGTGCAATGCGTGTAAGAGAGAGCGCTCACAAACCTGTACTCTTTATTCTTGTACATTCACACTGGTCACACTGGTTTATAACATTAATTTAGTCTATATTTGGTAAGCAACATCATTCGCTAGTTACTACGATTACAAGTGATAAATTAAAAATTAAAAAAAAACCGACCATCTTGGACCGATTTTCATCAGACATAGCTAAGAATACTCCTATTTCACTTTTCAAACAAAATCAAAATCGGTGCATCCGTTCGGGAGCTACGATGCCACAGACAGACATACATACACAGACACGTCAAACTTATAACACCCCGTCGTTTTTGCGTTGGGGGTTAAAAATAGCCGGTACTTCAAATGAATCTACTTACCTTCTTCTATTTTCTATTTTACAGGATTTTTTTCTTTCTTGATCTAGAAAAATAACATGAAAAATTCCTATCGCTTTTATATACGCAACATATGCGCAGATAAAATAGAGTTGCATGTTCCGAAAATAAACAAGTAGAAAGAAACACAAAAAAAAGCTTAAGAAGTGTGGGTTAGAGATATTTAAAAAAGTGACAGATACTTACTTTTCGTATTAAATTAGGAAAATATTGCTTATCGAAGGTACTTTCTAAAGCATTCGCGTGCCATTCTTCGTATATATGTGAGTTTAATTCAAAATTCTTTAAATCCTTATCACATAAACAACAAAAAATCTCATTTTTCTTCCTTACAATTCCTTGCCACGCGTCCCAAGATAATTTCAAAACAACAGAATCAAGAATTATAATTTTGTTCTCTTTCTTGATTTCAATATTATTTGATTTTGGTTTTATATCGATTCTACCAATAATTTCTATGTTAGATTCTTGCATTTTCAAGTAAATCTCCTCCTTTTGTGTCTGAACGTGCAAAAGTTTGATGCCAGAATTAAAATCAGCTTTTCTCATTTTCTTGCTCGTTTTGGCTTCTTGTATGGGCCACGTAAGATGTGAATTGAGATATTTTTTTGAAAATATCACGTTACATGTACAGCAATGATAAAGAAGGAACATCTAAAAATATTTACATATATACAAAATGAACTGGTATCAAAGCTCCCAGATACTTTGTAGGCGATGTTAGGTTAAAAGGTAGCCCATGTCCATCCCCTTGATGCATCTATGACTTTGCCAAATTTCATCGAAATCTGTTCAGCGGTTTAAGTGTAAAAAGGTAACAAACGGACAGTTACTTTTGCATTTACAATGTTTATGAACGTTGTTCTAGACAACATAATAAAATTATTTTAAGACTTTCTAAGACTTAAATGGTGTTATTCAGAATTCCATCAACCTTAATGACTTAATGTTAAATGGTAAAACTAAAACCTAAAATTTTACTTTTCATTTTGTTCATATGTTTGTATGGTTGTGTTAAAAATATAAAGGAAATGATGATGAAAAATAGTTAAAACAATTTCATGTCTTTTTTCTATCTCTGCAGTTTAACGTAGCAGTAAAATTAAAAACACGAATAAAAAACATCGAAACACTTTCAAGCAAAACATTAATTCGAATGACCTGAAAAGTCGATAAAATCGTGGTTTGAGCTTTGGATAATGAAAATCATATGATTTTCATTATAAATAAATAAATATTTGGGACATTAGCACACAACACCATCTAGCTCCATGGTAAGCACAAAGCTTGTGTTAAGGATACCAGATGGTTGATACACTACATACATATAACTGTAAATACATACACATTATAAATATAAATACTCATTACTGGAGTACAAACATCCGTGCTCATCACACAAATGAATGCCCCCAGCAGGACTCGAACCCACGACCGCTAGATCAGCAAGTAGGGTCACTACAAACTGAGCCAAACGCGTCGTCAATTATCCAAAGCTCAAAATCTAATTTTATTCTATAATCTAAAAATATTCTAAATATAAGAAGGAAAAATTACTTACCTGTCTTAATAAATGCTTATCAAATTTGTCTAAAAATTTACATTTTTCCATTGAGATTGTATGGGCCTTACTCTCTATATGCTGTTTGGTACATCCAACTATTTGACTTGAACAAACAAAACAATATCTCGTCCCATCCCCTATAGCTACTAAGCTATGATACGAATTAAACGTAACTTTAGAATTTTTATTTTTAAAATTCAAATAAAGGAACTCATGTTCATAATTTTCAATTGATTGTATTGAATCGTCAAGTGATTCTGAATGTTCGTTTGATTTAATGTTATTGTCTTGCGTATCCATTTTAGGTTGATTCATGAGTTGATTTGAATCAATTTGCTTCTCATGGTTTATTGAATCTTTAGGTTTTACTGGTGTGGGAATGTCTGGGATTTTAAGAGCTTGATTAAGTAAAGCTAGATGCAGCTCACTGGCTACATGTGGTAATGTTAAAGATACTTCATCAAATAGAGTATTGCAAATAGTGCAATGAGGCCTATTGTTTATCTAAAAAATATAAAAAAGACAATTAAAATCTATAAATAGCTTTAAATAAGTGATATTAAAAATTATTTTATACAACATTCATTTATTTATAGGTACGTTTATTTATACGTCGGGAACAAATTATCGAAATAAAAATACAGAGAAGTCTATTAGCTACCACTGTCTATAATTTTGGTACAGAAATAATTTTGCGTCTCGTTAAAACGAAACTACTCACTGAAATTCAACTTGATAGTAATAATTATAAAAAATAGCTCTGTCTATGATTATATCATTGATACATATAGTCATAATATAGCCATAAATATAGAAATAAAAATAAATAACTTACCAGTCTTATTAAATTTGAACCAAAATACGCCTCAAATGGAATGTTCCGTAATTTCCCAACATGATTCAAACTGACAATATGGTATTTCATAACATTTTCATTTGTAGATAAATTGCATATTCCACAATAGTAGCCCTGGCCTACTTTCAAAACAACGTTATAAGCAACAAACGAAATCCTTAATTTGCAAGAGAATTGATTCAAAATAATATCATTATAAAGGCCAGGTGATACATTATTTATTTCGAATGTTTCTCTGAAAAAAACCATTTTATTGTGATTCATCATATCAATTTTCTGAAATTTATTTGATTCATCGTTATTTCTATTTCTTGATACATCGTTATTTCCATTTATTGAAACATCATTATTTCTATTTATTGAATAATCGTTATTTATATTTCTCTCTTTAACTTTATGTTGAATCTTATTGTTCTTGTCTACTGCTGAATAGTCTATGTTTTCATATTTCTTATCATGAACGGTATCTATATGATCTTCAACATGAGATATCAATATTAATTCATTGCAAAGACCGCAATGATAAAATTTGAAATCTGAAATCATCTGAAATAAGTATTTAATTATATTAATATATAATTTTAATAATTTATATATTATATATAGATCTTAATAATGGAAATCAAACGCAAAGGTATACACAAACAAAAAAATATTAATATTTACTCACTTGTCTTATTAAGTATTGATTATATTGTTCAACAAAATTACACTTGTTTAGATTTTCTATATGATTTTCTTCAAAACAATGTGTAGACCTTAAAGAGATGTGGCCAAATATTTTACATGTCATACAATAAAATTGGTTAGATCGAGGATATATGACCATGTGCCAATGATCAAATAATATATTATATTTTTTTCCCCCAACAACTTGAGCTAAAATAAAATATTAGAATAAAGATTAATTTTGTTATTAAATTAATTAGGTACATATTAAAATATTTTTTATTAATAATTATTTTAATGTAATTATCAATAGTTAAACCAAGACTACAAGTAGTTAATATTAAATAGGCAAATATGACATCATAGGGCTTTTGCCATACAAATGTACGGAGAAACCGTGTTTTGACTGCTCGTAAAAAGTATGGCAAATGTTTGGTGGTGTTAGTTTCCCGATTGTATGACCAATACAAATGTTGCCGACCGAAATAAATATATTTTTATATTTAATATTGTATTGATTACTACTTACTTATATATTTTGGGGTAGTATTCGGCTTTTTCGCCATTGAAGCATAGGAAGTACTTTTATCGTTACTTCCGTTATTCAAATCAACATCGCTACTAAACTCATAATCGTAAAACCCTTCACTGCTTTCATAGTCGAGAATACTATTACAACTATTTGTTCTATTTCTATATAAATGAACCTCGTTGTTGTTATATTCGTTATTTTCGTTTTCGTCTGAATGTGTTAATTCAAGCGCCCGGTTCCATGCGTGGTCCATTTTGTCTTTATGACTTTCGCTATCAAAATGGTCGTTATCGTTATTTTTATCAAACGTTACGTTGCAAACAGCACAATGGTAACTTTCACCAATCTAAAAAGTTGTTTAACTAAGATATAATTTAATCATATTAAATTGTTTTAATTAATGCTAGTGTCCGCCCAGAGGTCGAAGTTCACTTATTTTTTTTATTGATAACACTAAAGCTCGTCAATAGCTCGATAACACGTTTCACTCAGTTTGTAGTGACCCTACTTGCTGTGCCAGCGGTCGCGGGTTCGAGTCCTGCTGGGGACATTCATTTGTGTGATGAGCACGAATGTTTGTACTCCATTCGTGGGTTTTTATATTAATATGTATGTATTTAAGGCTATATATGTATAGTATATCAACTATCTGGTATCTATAACACGAGCCTCGTAGCTTACCATGGAACTAGATGGTGCTGTGTTAATGTCCCAACATATTTATTTATTATTATTTATTTATAGCTATTTAACAAAAACAAAAAGGAAATCGGTTAACAAATGAAGGAGGAAAATGTACTGAACTGTTGTCTTTGCCTATTTATATGTATTAGTGTATTCTGCCCTTCTTTAACGATCCACTGCGGGGTACGGGCCTCCCTTCAATACGATGAGGATCAAGTCACATTTCAGTGCGGGTTTGCGGACTTCACGTCTTTTGAAAACTTGCTAGGTTCTCTCAGACATGCAGGTTTCCTCACGATGTTTTCAGTCACGGTGAGACAAGTGGATCATGATGGAAATAATTCGCACATGAAAATGTCAGAGATGCGAGACACGGGATTCGAACCAGCTTCATTCGGCTAACCAAGCAAGCGCGTTAAAAAATGGGCTACCGCTGCCTATAAAAAAAACCACTTTAGCACTTACAATATAGTAGATTGTAGTATACATTACCAGTCTCGTGATGCTCAGATCAAACTTCTTCAAAGGTCTACATCTTTGTAAATTTTCCATATGTGCAACCATTTTTATATGTACAAGAGAGTCAACGACATCGTCACAAACGAAACAGAATGTGTAATTTTCATCCACGATCAATGTATTCCATTGGTTTAGAGTTAGGAAAATGCAAGAATTTATTATAATTCCTTCATTGTTTTCTTGAATTGACATTTCTAAGTATATATCATCTGAAAATTAGTAAAAGTGTATATTTTAGCGACTTACCCTCGCTCTGTTTAGGTGCGTTTCTTTATTTTTTAAAATTACGATATCTTTTGGGAATCTTTTTATCTAAGGTCATGGTTTATTCGTGTACTCAATTTCATCTTAATCTGTTCAGCCGTTTTAGCGTAAAAGAGTGATAAGCATTTTATTTTAGTCCTGAATACTCGATTAATTTTCAATTTTGACTATAAAATAAACTGTTTAGTTGCTTTGAATTCCATAAATATTCGATTAAGTGAAGTCACAGGACTTGTGCTATACAAAATGTATAGAGGAATCGCGTTTTGAATGCTCGTAACAAGTATATCAAATGATTGGCGGTGTTAGTTTCCCGATTGTATGTTCAATACAAATGTTGGCGACCGAAAAGAATATATTTTTATATTTAATATTATATTGATAACTACTTACTTATATATTTCGGGGTAGTATTCGGCTTTTTCGCCATTGAAGCATAGGAAGTACTTTTATCGTTATTTCCGTTATTGACATCAACATCGTTACTAAAGTCATAATCGTCAAACTCTTCACAGCTTTTGTATTCGAGAATACTATTAAAACTATTTATTCTACTTCTATCAAAATGAACCTCGTTGTTGCTATTTTCGCTATTTTCGTTTTCGTCTGAATGTGTTAATTCAAGCGCCCGATTCCTTGCGTGGTCCATTTTGCCTTTATGACTTTCGCTATCAAAATGATTGCTATCGTTCTTTTTATTAAACGTTATGTTACAAACAGCACAATGGTAACTTTCACCGATCTAAAAAGTTATTTAAAGTAGGATATAATTTTATCAAATAACTCGTAAATTATGTTTTAATTAACGCTAGAGTCCGCCCAGTTGCTTCACAAACAGAAGAGAAAAAGGTTATTATCAATTACCAAGAATTATTCCACCCTTGAGGTCAATTTTTCTTTGCGGTATACCGTATATTTTTACCTATAGGTACAATAAAAATATCTGAAGATCACTATTTGCGAAGATCAAACCACGAAACCTATAAAAATATGAATACTAGCGAATTCAATATCTCCTGTTTGAAGTCAGTCAAAAACATTTTCAGCCTTTTTCTAACATCTCACTGCTGGGCACGGTCTTCCCATCAATACAAGGGGGATCAGGCCTCACGATCCCGAGGTTTCCTCACGATGTTCTCCTTCACTGTATGGCAAGTAGTAATCATGTTGGAAATGCTTCGCACATCAAAACCTCAGGGGAAGAGACTCGAGATTAGAACCCGCTTCACTTAGGAGTACCACTGCTTATAAAAAAATACTTTATAATATAGTTAATTTACCAGTATTACTTACCAGTCTCGTGATGCTCAGATCAAACTTTTTCAAAGGTCTACATCTTTGTAAATTTTCCATATGTGCAACCATTTTTATATGAACAAGAGATTCAACGACATCGTCACAAACGAAACAGAATTTGTAATTTTCATCCACGATCAATGTATTCCATTGGTTTAGAGTTAGGAAAATGCAAGAATTTATTATAATTCCTTCATTGTTTTCTTGAATTGACATTTCTAAGTATATATCATCTGAAAATTAGTAATACGTAGTATAAATTCTAGCAACTTACCATCGCTTTATTTAAGTGCATTCCTAGATTCCTTTTACAACAGGAGTTCGTATGGTATATATTTTGGGAAAGAACCAGTGAGACCATTTTTAAATTTCCTAATTAAAACTGGCCTATCTGTTAATCCAGGTATCTAGACCCACTTCGTTGGGTGGTGGACCATGTGGGTTGCTCCTGGTACTTCTCTAATAGCCCTATATATAGAGTGGACCGTTGGAGTAACCCCATGCTTGCTGTCGTCTGCTTCGGCAGACATGGCGTCGGGGCGTCGTAGTTGAATTCGTAAGCGATCCTGCGACGCTTCATCAAGAGGGGGGAGGTTTTGTTGAGTTTTAGTGGGTAGGTACTGGCTTTCTAGACGGTGAGTCCCACATAACCACTTGTATATTTACAGGTGGTATGCGTAAATACATTTCCCAACATTAATAAAATGTATAAGTGTACTAAATTTCTATTCATTGCATTTGTCGTTAATTTTTTTTAAATATGAATAGATGTACATTTAAAAAAAAAAATTTTTTAGACAGACAAATAAAAACATCGATTCATGTCACCATCCATAAACTCAATATATCTGTTAATGATCTTACAAAGAAGGAACGCTATTTTTCATTTATAACGTACCGATTTTCATGCTTTATCCTTAAATAATATTAAATTTGAAGAAAAATCTTACCAATAAGGTAAAATTTTGATATGTATGTTAGTTTTTAGTCAAAAAACAATTATTGTTAGTTTACATAAGCCATATTTTATTGTATCTTTTAGTTTTTTACCTGTTTCCATTTTCTCCACAGCCGTTGCAGTATCATTCCAATTATTTAACTGAACTTCAAATTCGAAGAACAATCCGTTATCGTTGTGATTTTCATCACGGAATATTTCACCGTTAATTTCATATACAGTATCAAACTTTGGTGCTGTCTCGTTAGCATTATTAAAAGACTGTCCATCTTGGTTTAAAATTCGCTTGTCTATGTATATCTTATGCTCATGTCCTTCTTCCTCTCTTTCTGATGAAGAATCACGTGACATTTTCTGTAATAACCAATAAAATTTCATTAATAAATATAAATAAATAAATATGTTGGGACATTAACATACAGCACCATCTAATTTCATGGTAAGTTACGAGGCTTGTGTTATGGATACCAGATAGTTGATACACTACACATATATAATTTTAAATACATACATATTAGAAATATAAACACTCACGACTGGAGTACAAACATTCGTGCTGATCACGCAAATGAATGCCCCCAGCGGGACTCGAACCCGCAACCGATGGTACAGCAAATAGGGTCACTATAAACTGAGCCGAACATATCGTCACAATATAATTATATATAGGGATGAAATATTTTTTAGTAAAAAAAATATATTTATCTAATAAATAAAAATGATTCACTCATTTAAAATTTAAAAATAAATGTTAGAAGTATTTTTTTATAAACAAAAATAAACGATTAACTATAAAAAAATATATTTGAAAAACTAGCAACTGACTCTCGATTCGCTCGGGTGCGACCTATTTTCTTTTTCTAATGTAACTAATTAGAGCCTAAGTTACTTGTCATAACATCAGCTATCTGCCAGTGTAAATCCCGTTAAAATCGGTCCATCATCGGTCTAACATTTTAAAAATGGATTTTTATCTTATATATACCAATATATAATTTCATATGTTTAAATAGTAAAAGTTATTATTTTGACATTACACACACTGAAATTTTATTTATTTTTATGTACATAATTAAAAAAAATAACTTTTATTTAAATTTTAACTTACATATTTAAAGCATTATGGCACTTACACTAAAAAAACCACTTCACTGTCTTAAAAAGTATAATTAAATGCTATCATTTTGTAAGTTTCTTTTTTATAATAACTTAATTGATATTTAATTATGTATATTTACGAAATAATCTTTACTAATTATTTGTTTGCACATTGATTATGAAATATGTTTATTAAGATCAGACTATTAATTATTATTAATGTGAAAATTTGTATGTTTGTATGTGTGTTTGTTCGTTAGTTACTCATTCACGCTGAAACGGCTGGACCGATTTGGACGAAATTAGAATATTTAATACTTTCTAAACAACTATATTATGTTGACCTTTGAGTCGTCTAAAACCTTAGCCTCTCCCGTGGCCGTGATTGCTGTAAAGCATTCGAAATGTCGGGAATCAAAAATCAAAATAAATCCGCGAACAAATCCGAAAGGATAGTTTTATTTAAAACATAGGTTACTCTTAGGCAGCAGGGACGCATGAGCAAAGCGAGGTAAGTCACTGTTCATTAATAAATTAGGTGTTAATAATAATTAAATGTCCGTTTATGATAAAGCTTGTTAATCTAATTTAACACCTTTAAACGAGAAATTCTTGTATAGGTATTTATTTATATATACCGGCAATCTCAGAAACGGCTCTAACGATTTCGCTGAAATTTGCTATGTGGAGGTTTCCGGGGACGAAAAATCGATTTAGATTAGTCTAATGTTTGGGAGAACGCGATGCGTGTGATGTGTGTGTGTGAGAAATACATGGTAGTGTGTGTAATGTTTTTTTTTATTTAAAGTATTTTATATGCATAATTAAAAAAAAATATTAGCATTCTGCACTCCTTCTCTATATAAACTAATAGCGACTCACCCTCGCTTTGTTCGGGTTCGTCCCTAGCTTGATTCCCCATACATCTTTCATCCCCATTTTCACCCCCTTAAGGGACGATTTCCTGGATAAAAAGTAGTATGTCCTTTCCAGGGTCTCAAACTATCTTCTTACCGAATTTCATAACACACTCATAAACTAACAAACTTTACCTCTTTATAATATTAGTATAGATAAGTGTGGGTAATTTCATACTCCTTGGTCCGCGTAATTTTCGTAAAAAGGGGAACAAAGTTTTTGCTTCACGTATTGATACATATATACATACAGCAATGCATCAGAAAAAAGAAATTTTAAGGGAGGCCAGTTAAAAAAACAGACAAAGAAATAATAAATACCTTATATTCTTTAGGGTAATTTTTGTGCTTATTTAGATTCTTATAATATATAAAAAATTTACAAAATTCATTTTGCTATGAATCAAATTGTCATTTTTCATCAGATAATAATAGAAGATAAAGAGCATTTTTCCTTTAACCGTTAAATTCATAAATTAATATGTTACCTAAATTTATAATTTAACCATGAGATTCATAAATAATTTATATATAAAATATAACATTTTTAATTTACCCCTTGCCCATTTTCCTGGGACATTTCTTGCTTATTATTTATTAAATACATCTATACCTACTAATATTATAAAGAGAAACGATTTGATTTTGTGTTGTGAAAGTACTAAACCGATTTAGATGAAATTTGGTAAGAAGACAGTTTGAGACCCTGGGGATGACATAGATAGTTTTTATCTCGGAAATCATCCCATGAGGAGGTAAAAATGGGGATCAAAATTGGTAAGTATGAGGAATCAACATAGGGTTGAACCCTAATATTGAAGATGTGGAAAGATCATGCAAGGCTTGCAAAGAAAGGCTCCAGTGACAGTTATCCCTCTTAGTATAAATAATCATATACTTGGTATATAAAGGTTGATCTGTTCAAGTAATACTCGAGTGAGAATAAAAAAACTAATCAAGTGCAGTGTAGGTACAAAGAACAAATGTCAATATAAACATTCACACATACATGCATAAATTAATAAAATATATAATATATATACATTAAAAAATATATTGTATAATGTATAATAAAGAAATTATGTCAAGAGACTCAATTAAGTTGCTTTAAGCAAGATTTCATTAATTTTAGCGATTAATTTTTCAATAATACAATCTAAATTATTTAACTTTTTTTATAAAATATCCTTCATGGTACATGCACTCGCATGTGCACCACCCAGTGTCCATGTTATTGTTTATGTCTAATTTGGAGGCTTTTTTTAATGTATTTAGATTCACCTTTTTAACAATATTACATATGAATTTAAAACTAACATAATGGTTCTTACAGGTAAACCTTTTAAAATGAATATCATATATGTATATAGAGAAAGTTTTATCAAATATAATAATTATTATTTACTTATTTAATAAATTAACTAAACATGTTTTTTAATTAGCCTCAATAATACACAAATACTAATTTTCATACATAAAATATTTACATACTTAACTTTTTCAGTACCTAAAAGTGAAAATTTAAAATAGAACAAATTAAAAAAAACTATTAGAGATATTTTTAACACTTTCTTGATACTTAGGTAAAGAGTCTGAATGCATTCAAGATCTTATGGTCATTGACAATATGACATGAACATTTGTTATACTCTAGTTCTTCCCTAGCTATCTAACAGTAGCCTATGTGTTACTCCAGCTATCTGTGCACTATATTTCATCAAAATCCGTTCAGCCGTTTTGAAGTAAAGTAGTAACAAATATACATACTGAAAGTTTCCTATTTAAATAGATTAATTTACAAGTAATTATGTTATTTAAGTACATAAGTTTATATCCTATGCAAAGCCAAGGCGAGTCGTTTGTATAATATAAGAAAAATATTAAAAAAACTTACGGTGTTTTTTTTATTCCAACGTGTTTAAATAAGTTAAAATCACAGAGTACATTGGTATATACTAGGTTAAAATAATATTTTGTATGTGATAACAATTTGTTAATAATAAATAATAATGGTTAAGCACTAAAAACTGAAAAGTAAAATAATCCCCGATATTAGTAACAATGTTGCCATATTATTTTCGGTGCGTTCAAAAATTGTTAAAATATTTATTTAATTTAAATATTATTTGTTTTTAAAACCGAGTATTTAAAAAAAAATATTTTGTGCATTAGTACGTTTAAATAAACGTATAATACCAATATTACTGCAAATATTATTTCTGACAATTTTATGACGCCTGAAAGAATTCTATTAGCAATATTTTTCTTAATACGCAAAAACTAAATTTATTTTTGCATAATTAAATAAAATATATGCTCTAAGATATGAATATCTAATAGGTAAACATGATGAGGTATGACCTCTAATATATTTAGAATATTGTACATCAATTTTTGTTGTATTTTACGTATCGAAATATATTGCTTTGCTTTGCATCGGCTGGCACCGACTATATATTGTAAATGGAAACCCCAGTCGCGATGAGTTCGTTTGTTCGTGCTTGTCTCAGCAACTTCTGTTCCACTTCCCATATAGTTGTCACCAATAGAAAGAGGGATTATCTAGATTATTAAGTTACAATTTATTTACATGTTACCAAAATAAACTATCCGATATGATAAATATTCTAGTACTAGCATTGCCCGCGGCTTCGCCCGCGTTCAGATGACCAAAAACTAAATTCTTAGGTTTCACATATTAGTACACTCTTACAATGCAGTTTTTGTATTTTTTCTCAGAAATGAGGTAGTTTCCCGCGGTAAAAAGTATCCTATATGTTGAGCCGGATAACCAACTATCATCATACCAAATTTGATCAAAATCTGTCCAGTGGTTTTCTCGTGATGCGGTAACAGACACAGACAGACAAAAATTCTAAAAACTATTGATACGGGCTTTGTATCGATAATAATGTCTATTTCAATTAGATTTTCCAAAAAATATTTAATGCACAGATTCGACTTAGTTACAATTTTATTATAAGTTATAGTTAATGATATCTAGGGACGCAAATCTATACAAATAAATAAAATGAAAGTGTCCGTTTGTATTGTTAAAACAACAGCTTTTTACTAAATTCATATGAAATTATATACGGTATTTAAAAGAATTTTTTTTTTACAATTTTTGTGTCGTCAGTGTGTTCCGGCTAATCTCCGAAACGGCTGGTCTGATTTTGACGGGACCTTCACTGGCAAATAGTTAATATAAGGAGTAACTTAGGCTTCTTTTATTTAAGAAAAATAATTATGGTTCCACTCAAAAAGACGACGCACCCGAATGAAGCGAGGGTATCAACTATCTGGTATCCATAATACAGGCCTCGTAGCTTACCATGGAACTAGATGGTGCTGTGTGTTAATGTCTCAACATTTAGAGATAAATAAAACAAAAAGAAATAAAGATTCGCATCATTTATTTTCTCTAATTCGAGATTTCATTCACATCACGACATAAACTAATGACGTTTGTGACGTCACACACAATTGATAAATGCATGTAAAAACTGTTTTATTGGTTGAAAAATTACATAATATATAATAGGGTGGAACGAAAAATATTTTTGTTTTGTTTTCTCTTAGCTTGGGGGTATAATTTGTAGCTTCTAAAAAAGCAAAATTATTGAAATAAAAAAAAAACTGGACATTTTGAGGTGGCCCACTGATTTTTTAAATTAAAAAAAAATATTATAAAAAACAAGCAAAAATTTCGCTTTACCCTAATATATAATAATAATTATGTCCAAATTAGCATTTCAAAAAAAACACTATACGAATTTGGCAAGTGCATCGTATAAAATGACGGCGTTACAGAAAAAAAAACATGTCAAACGATAAATTTAAAAATTCCTATAAAAATATATTTAGATTTGCAATAATAAGATAATTGAATGGCATTAGAAAAGATATTTAAATTAAAGTAGCTTCAAAATTGATTTAAATAACCCTTTATATCCATATAATAATATAAATCGTCAAACGTCGTTCTCGACTCTGCATCGCCGTCATTTTAATACGTTTCGTTTGTCATTAAAAACCTATTATATGCTGCAATATTTTGGGCTATCCTGAAACTTCATCTATACAATACAAGCAGAGCTGCATCAAAATTGATACAGTTTCTATACAAAACATTCACATCATTACCCATAAGATGTTTATCACAGAGCTTGTGTACATTCGATAGTTTGACAAAAAAATATATATTTGTTTTAAAAATGCTGACTCCATTTTGATAAAATCCGACAGTTAAGTAAAACGCTCCCAATATGAGGTGGAATTATTTTAAAAAAATCAAAATTTTCCATTAAACCGCATGTAAAATTGATCAAACCATATCAAAATCGTCTCAGCATGTTTAAAAACTACAAACAAACGTTTTAACATTATTAGTTATTACATTTCATCGAAGGCATTCCACTAAGAAACAAAACATACATTCTGTACATGTACAAACAAACATAAAACCTGAGATCATTTTTTTTATTTATTTTTTTAATAAATTTGTAATTTTTTTTTCGTTTATCATATTATAATAGATTAAATGAATAATTTTGAACTGCCAACGTTTAAATGATTTTTTGTAAATAATTTAAAAACGAAACTAAAACGTTAGTCAACTATACAGTATACATAAAAAAGAATCGCACATTGTAGACTTTTTTAAGTATGAAAAAACATTTGCGATTTTAAATCGACAAATTGAAAAAATCTAGAGTGTGCGACCAAAAATTTACATTACATTACCATAATACTAATTAAGAAAAGAAATAATCGGTGGAGTTTTTTTTTACATTTTTTTCTCTTATTCACTCACATGTAGGTGACTCTTAAAAACTAGAAAATATGGAATATTTTTTTGCTTTTACAAAAATCACAGTACGAAATCTACGGACACGAGGAAGACGCTCTTTGTTCGCATACTATTCTTTTTTAATCTTAAAAAGTAAATTATTACGTTAATAAAGCTCTGTTACTGATAAATGATCTGACAAAGCGAGTCTTCCTCGAATTAGAAATAATCTTAATATTGAAAAAAATATATATACCTATAATACATATATATTATATATTAAAAGCGAGTGTAATTTCATAAATCAACACTTATTAAAAAGTGACCGGTAAGTAAATCTGCAATTTTGAATGAAAAATGAAGAAAATTATTTTTGTTTTTTCAAACAGGCAAAGGTATATAAATATCAGAATAAACATTAAAAAAAATAATAATAAATGAAACCACTCGCCTTCGCCGAAAATGGATATGAAATTGCAAATGTCAAAACTGAATTATTTAAGTGTAATTATGTTTTTTAAATAGATACTACAAAAAAATTTATAAAGCTATATACAATTTATAAATGAATAGTAAAATGACAGACGACACATTGAAGCCATGTTCAAATTGAATAAATTTAATTATATTATTTATAATAAGTAAAAGTGAGTAAATTAAAAAAAGCTAATTATGGGTAATCTATTTAAAAAAAATAAAAACCTACTGTCAGTTCACTTTCCATTTATATAAAAAAATTTTTTTTTTTTGTAAAATTTCATAATTTTTAATTCAAAACTGAATTCTTAATCGAAATAATAAAATTTAATTCATTTAATAATTATTTTAACTATTAAATTAAACCTAACCTAACTGTTGAAAGTTTTACTCACCGTCCCTTCTGCTTGTGTGACTCCGTTATTGCATTTATATTAATTATTAATAATTATTAAATAATGATTCCATAAATGTATATTTAAATATTTTTTTAAGTAAAACTTCTTATACATGACCGAGAGGTAAGTCCAATACATTAGAAAATTATGTCAAATTTATTATTACTTTATAAGAATTATCTAGACATATAATAAAATTCTGAGTCGAATCTGTACATTACATATTTCTTGTAAATTCTTATTGAAATAGACATTATTATCGATACAGAGGCCGAATCTATAGTTTTTAGAATTTTTGTCTGTCTGTCTGTCTGTGACCACATCACAGAAAAACCACTGCAGGGATTTCCATGAAATTTTGGTATGGTGATAGCTGGTCATCAGAGTCAATATATAGGATACTTTTACTGCGGGAAATCTCATTTATGAGAAATGTATACTAAACGTTAAAATGTAATGTGCGGATAGAGGCTGAATCGCAAGTTAATTATGAAAATGAATATTTATTATTAATAATTTAATAAAAAATATTATATTTATATTTTGATTTGTTTAATAAAATTACGCCACAGCGCTAAAGAATTTTTACTTGTTTTAAACAAAACTTCGCCAATGTCACTTAGAAAGATTCAATCAACATTAATAATTAGATAATTGGTCTGTCATCATGGCGTTATAGTAAAAAAACTTTTCATTTGAAAAAGATTTATTCAAGAATAAAATCTTATAAATATTAAAAAATGTCGGGCGTTTTCGAAAATTATTAATATAATTTTTATTATTGTTATTAATAATATAATTAATTAATATGCCAAAATACCTATTATCCAATTATTAATTTATATTTTCCCGCCAAAACTCGCGAAGTCGGAATAGCTACCATCGTTTTTTTTAAGACAAAGATGTTAAAGGTATATAACATACAGTCATTGCACTTTACTTTTATTATAGCCATTGCACTGTTTTTTTTAAATAGATAATATATTTTTCACTTATTTTATATTAAGCTAAATTTTATTCAGCCTCAAATTTTTAACGAAAATGATATTGACGTCACAACTATTTTATAAACATAAAGGTCTTATGTTAGGGAGCCTAATTTTTTTTTTCACTGTAAACATCTTCATCTTGTAACTTGCGACGGGATGATAAAAAAATATTAAACAGCCAAATTCTTCTTATAATCCATCCAATAGAAAAATTCTCTCATTTTTTTTCTTCATAACAAAAATAGATATTTTTCTAACATTTTGGTGTATGTATGATTTTATTCAGCCAACGTCTTCTCACCGGATGTGTGTTGAACAGATAAAATAAGATATTTTTCGTGGCGAAGGTAGCATATATCCAGCCTTCACGGTGCACGTGTGGTTCAATTGTCGCAGTACACGGGCAGAACGGGACTTCTTGGCCAGTCAGAGGTTTCTTCACTTTCGCTGCTTTCGCTTCCGGATCTGTTTACAAAAATAGTTATCTATTAAAAAATTTTATTAAGGTTACGTAATATAAATATTTTTGAGAAAACATGAGTCTCTGAGGGAATCGTAGATTTTCCGGGATAAAAAGTAATCTATGTGCTATAATTCCAGACTATAATCTATCTCTGTGCCAAATTTCATCCAGATCCGTTCAGTCGTTCTGGCGTGATTGAGTAACAAACAAACATCCATACAAACTTTCGCATTTATAATATTAATAATTAAATACACACCTGTTTCGTTTGGGCGTTGCATCCACAGCCAAGTGTTGCTCCTCTATGGTCGGCAATAGAGACGTTAGACGGTCCGTGGGACGAAGCACCTGGAAATAAGAAATATTAATTAATATTCAGTCATTATTATAAACGTTCGACTGCTGGGCGTGGGCCTCCCTTCGGTACTCGGGGAATCAGGGCACAGTCCCCCACGCCGGCCGAGTGCGGGCGGACTGAGCATGTCTGCAGACAACTTGCTAGGTGCTCTCAGACACACTTGAAATAAAAGTCAACAGACGGTGATACATGTATCGATTTGTTATTGAAGTTAGTGTAAAATGAGCAAAAGATGAAAAATAGACTCCAAATAGAATTTTCTTCATTTTACTGATTATCGTAAAACCAAAATTCAGGATTACCTGATGACCCATTAGGGTTTTGTAATAAATATTCACAGGTGGCGCGTTTACTTTTACGAGTTATTTACCACGGTTAAAAACTATTAAAATCACTTTAATTTTTTTAAATTTATTTAATTAATGTACAGAATGAATTATGCACTAGTTAACATGTTTTAGTTTTCACATATTTATAAAACAAAACTTGACAACAAACAAAATGTACGCTTAGATCTTTAAAACTACGCAACGGATTTTAATGCAGTTTTCGGCAATAGATAGTGATCCAAGAGGAAGGTTTATACGTATAATACATGCATATCATAGTACAGAAAAGCCGTGAAATTCAAAGATTTGTATTTCATACTAACCGTAATATAGGATACAGGTTATAGTGTATACAAACAAACAAACAGACACGTACCTTCAGAGTTCTCTCGGACAGCCGCCACACAAGCCGCTGCCGCTGCGGCGCCGCCTGCCGCGCCTCGTAGCGCGCCGCCACCGCGAGCGCCGTAGCGCGCGTCTGCACCAGCGACGCGTCCGACATCTGTTGGTATGAACAGACAAACATAATATTAATACATATATATTGCTACCCAATACAAACTTCATTCCCATTTTCACCCCCTTAAGGAATGATTTCCAGGATAAAAACTATCCTATGTCTTTCCCAGGGTCTCAAACTATCTTCTTACATTAAATTTCATTAGTATAGATTAGCGAGTTATCCTCACTTCGCTTGAATAAAAATGCTATGCTTCGCATAAAAGACAAACATACAAAGAAAAAATCTTCTTTGACGCCAAGAACCTTCGCAGGCGTATACAGAAAATTAACCAGAGTTTTATCAGAATCGGATCAATAGGTTAGGACAAACGTACGAACATTCATTTTTAATTACATAAAAAATCGATGTACCAAAAACTCAAGATACACACAATTAGTATCTCAAAAGTGTCCTCAAAAAGAAGCGCATAATACGAAATCGTGTGCTTTTTTCAAATCTCTCTTGTCCATTGCTTTTCGGATGACAAAATTAAACTTCGATTATTGAATTTTATTCTTTGGTTTGACTTAACGTCACATGTCGACGCCACTTTTTGAAGAGATATTTGTTAAGAAATGTGTAATCTATCTATATTTCTATATCAATGTTTCAAAACAAATTCCATGAACCATAACCCCATACCGAAGTAAAAATCAAAACAATCCACTCACATTACAATGTGCTTGTAATTGAGCAGCAAACTCATACAAGTAGTAGGCATCCTCCGGCACCGGAGCACCTCCTTCTGCTGCCAGCCGACTCCATTCGACCAGTTGTTTTTCTAAAAACAAAAACAATATAACATATTTAAATAACACAAAACTAGGTTTTTAGATTATTTTGTCTTGGAAAAAATTATGAGAGTAAAATGTTTATGAAGTGCGACAAACAGAGAGTTGTGACATACAGGATGAAATCTTTAGCTATTTTTGTTCTGTTACGCCAAAGAAGTATAACTTATTACGTGCGTACATAATTACACACAGGTTTATTTTTTCAAAATGTTCAAGCTTTGTTTGGATTTCCTGAGATGGACATCATATACAACAATAATTCATATATTTTATTCAACATATGCACAAATTGTCTGTCCCGCGTTTAGGTAAGCGTTTAAGTAATTATTCTAGTTGAAATAAATATGTAAAAATGTAAATTAAACCTTAAATGCAATGCATAAACAACTTCTAACTTTTTCACAAAAAGATATTTAAATTAAAAGCGCACTCAAATGTACATATGAGCGCTCATTCGGTGAGGACATTTTTTGTCGCTGATTGTGTATCTGATACTTTTTTGATCAATGAGTTTAATTTATATTATCGTAGCACGTATTCCCATGTATTCTCACCTAACTGATGGTAAACAAGAACGAGGGCCAGTTCACACGTGCGCGCGTTCACACAGCCGGCGTCGCAAACTGCTATCTCCAGTAGATTTATTAGTTCTGTTTCCTGTAGAAATAAATTATTAATTAGTTCAAGAATTCCAGTTTTTGCTTTTCACCAGGGTCGAATTCGAGCGAAGCGATGGTGAGTCACTAGTGCTATGTATAATTTCACATCTATAACTCTAAAGTCATATATAAGTCAATTTGATTATGAACAAAACCCCGATTCTCAAAATAAGGGCCTCTCCACACTATAGTTCTCGGTCCTATATCGGTCTGGTAAAATATTGTTATACAAGAATCGTTGCTGGAGTGTGATTTGATAGAAAATTGACTCTTACTGATAGTGTGAATGCACTTATGTTCTTTATTAAAATATCTTACGAAACCGAAGTTGGTCCGAAAATGAACCGTGATTAGCACTATAGTGTGGATCGGACCTAAAAGGTCCTTCAAGACGACCCTTGAACCTTCCAATCAAAATTATTAATTTATTATGAGTTACCGACAAACTAATAGAACTAACTATTACTCCTAACATATTAATTGAACTTAACTACAGATAATAACAATACATTATAGAATTGGTCCTTCGAGCCGGACCCAAAAAAAATATTCCTTTACAAGCAGATCATAGTCCAACTCACCGGCAACACACAGTTGTGCATACCCAGCGACTCAGCAGCGGCCAGCACCAGCGCCCTCAGCAGGCGCACCCAGTGCAGCGCGCTCACTGAGCCGCGCTGGGCGAGCGCCAGCTTATCGGTGATGACGCGCGACATGCGTGCCACATCACCCGCCGTGCACGCCGACTGGGATACAGACACTGTTGATGTGCAATTGAAAAAAATTAATAAAAGAAACTGGATGTTAATACTCGTAAATATGTTTCAGATTATTTTGTGGATTTATTTGTTTTTTAAATGGTTCAAGATCAAGCCCACCACGCTGGCCAAGTGCGGGGCGGACTGAGTATGTCTTGAACACTTGCTAGGTTCTTTTAGACATGTAGGTCTCCTCATGTTGTTTTCCTTCACCGTAAATGGTGATGGAAATAATTCACACATGAGAATATCAGAGATTCGAGACCGGGGAGTTGAACCCGCTTCACTCAGTTTCAAAAGAGAGTGCATTACCACTGGGCTATTATTATTATATTTAACATAATATAATGATATTAAATACATAGTGGCTAGAATGTGAGTCTTCAAATCCAGAAGTTCTGAGTTCGAGCCCTGGTTGGGCTTCATGTAGGCTATTGACCGAGTGAGAGAGATCGAGTGTGTAGTGAGCGTTTCTCTCCCTCACATACTTATGAATGAGATTGGCCGACATAAACGAAATCAGTCTCGATATTACATTTTAATTTATTTTTTACCGATTTGTGGCCTTAAGGCTAATATCATCTATCTATTTATAAATCCATACTTATATTATAAACGTGATAGTGTGTTTGTTTGTTTATTTGTTTGTTTGTTTGTCCTTCTTTTACGTTGAAACAGAGTGACGGATTGGCGTGATCTTTCGGAGGATTGGAGAGTGCTACTTTGTATGGCAGGATATTATCTCATTCCCACGGGAAAACAAATTATAATTCATAACACTCACAAGACCTCATGATACCTATGTATATGTGTATGTGTATATATATATATATATATATATATATATATATATATATATATATATAATATATTCCAAACTCACCAAGTTCTTCGACAGAAACGTTCCTCGGCTGTTTCGTCATCTCCGCGTACTCATCTATCGCAATATTCATACAAGATACGGTGATGCACGGCACGTGACACGGGCGCACTTTCATTTTAGTTAGGAAGCTGTGAACAAAATATATTATTTGTATATATTTATAATGGTTTTTGAAGGGTTTTTGTGTCGAAAAATGCCCTAATATTGTATTATGAAATATGCACGATTGATTTTATACAGACAAAACAGTTAAATACTTTATCCTATACATATAATAAAATTCGGAGTCGAATCTGTACATTAAAATTTTTTTGGAATATCTTATTGAAATAATCATCATTATAGATAACAAGAGGCTGAATCTATAGTTTTTAGAATTTTTGTCTGTATGGAAACGCATCACGGGAAAACTGCTGGAGGGATTTCGATGAAATTTGGTATAATGATAGCTGGTTATCCGGGTCAACATATAAGATACCTTTTACTGCAGGAAAATATTTCATCCCTGAGAAACTTATACGGGGCGAGGGTGAGTCGCTAGTTATGCTATAAGATTTAAAATATAAGTATATCAATGGATTGATTTATAACTCACCGATCAAACAAATTAATGGCGCTAATGAGCACATCCGCCGGAAGATCGAACCAAACTTTGAGACAGCGAAGGACGTGTGCGGCGCCATCTCTTGCACCGGTAGTTACTTCGCCATTCTGAAACAATATATTTTATATTTAATTACATTTATTATTTCTTCTATATTCATACTATTTGACGACACATTTGGCTCAGTTTGTAGTGACCCTATTTGCTGTGCCAGCGGTCGCGGTTTCGAGTCCCGATGGGGGCATTCATTTGTGTGATGAGCACGAATGTTTGTAGTCCAGTCGTGAGTGTTTATATTTATAATAAATCTATATTTAAAGTTATATATGTGTAATGTATCAACTATCTGGTATCTATAACAGAGACCTCGTAATATGTCCCAACATATTTAAAATAAAAATAACTCATACTAATAATAATAAATGCAAAAGTAACTCTGTCTGTCACGCTTAATCAGCTGAACCAATTTAGAACCGTGCCCAAGAACGAATCCAAGCGAACCGAGGGTGAGTCGCTAGTTTATAACATCGCTATAGTAACCATTTCACTTACAAGTTATATTATCTAGACTGAACTTAGGCCAAGGCCAGAAATTTGAATTTCAGATTTTATACTTGTTTATTTTTCAAGAAATAAATGTAATTAATTAAAATATATATCTAAAAGGATCCCAGAAAACTATCAAAAAGCTCGTTTTGCTAAATTTAAAAAAAAAAAAAAGATTTAAAGAATATTTGAGTGCCACTTTCTTAGATTTACGCGAATATTTGACATTTTAAATAGACTCATCTCTCCCGTGACTATGATTGCTGGATAGCATTGGAATCCAAAAAATCCGATGTGATAGTTTTATTTAAAACATTTGTCTGCTAAATGTACCTAAATGTAAAGAAAAAAATAATAATTTTGTTGAAGGCAACACCACCTTGAGAATGATTTTATCATCTCTAGACAATTTTAACGACGGAACATTATTACGAGATAAATTATGATTTTGTTTACCAAACAATATATTAAAAAAAAAAAAAGAATTTTCGCTATCGACAGTTCTAACAGAAGTTTTCCAAACTAAAACATAATAACATAATAATTTAACACCACCTGAAGGTAAATTTCTAAGAAATTAATTAAATTTCTAAGAAATCTATTGTTAACTGTAACGCCGGCGTGTCCGCGGTCGTTGCGTTGAGGGATTAATGCTGCATTTTCGGATTTAAATATGTACGTAGATGACTTCTACGACCCTCGAAACTTTCAACACATACCGTAATAGTATTGCGACGATACAATCGCCATAAACCTTCACAGTATGCAAATGTATATTGTGAAACCGGTAGAGTGCTATTCTTATTGTAATCTTGATTTTTCTTTCGAAAACACAATCGACCATTTTGATTACTTATATATTTTAAATTAACGTTTCCATACAGCTCTGCTAGAATAGTTTATTTATATATAACTAGTTTTGTCCTGCGGCTCCGCTCGGATGATAAGCGGGGCAAGGATCACAAGTAACCTATATCCGTCCCCAGGGTGCAATCTTATATCCTTGCCTATCGAAATCTATTCAGCGGTTAAAACAGACAGACAATTACTTTCACAATTATAATATATGTATGTATGGATTACTCCACTTGTAAGTTTCACACATCATCCCCTATTTTCCATCCCTGGAGGAAAGCATATATATGTACGTAATCAATCAGCCAATCGCCGTCCACCGCTGAACAAAGACCTCCCCCAAAGCGCTCACCATCCCGATTCCCGGTCCTGTGCTGCCCGCATCCATCCACTGCCAACCAACCACCTTTCTTAGGTCATTGGTCCATCGTGTTGCGGGATGTTCTACACTACGCTTGCTTAAACGCGGTCTCTACTCTGGCACGTTCAGAATCCATCGACCATTAGTACGTCTGGAGACATAAGCTGGCCACTTTCACTTCAGCGAGCTAATTGGGAATATGCGTGTGTTTTAAATAAAAGTGAAACCTTTTTTTTTAATTGCTATTGAATTAAGTCTATATTAATCTTTCTAACGTAATTTTTTTTTAATTAAGAAAATAATTATTAAAAAATGCAAAATCTGGTGGGAAATTCAAAGTAGTTGAAACGCAACGCCATTGGTCAGACCGAGTGTGACGTCAGAGTATATCATACGAATACGCTACGAATTGAGTCGTCATTTCTCTGTGTATATCATACTGTGACGTCACGCCAAGCGCGCGGAATGGCGAGTGTTTAAAGTAGCCATAACGGGATATTAAAAAAAATGAATACTAAATTTTAGTGTTTTGGAGCTGGATATATTTTTACAATTATATTTAAAAAATAAAAAAAAATTCATGCATATTTCCCATTCTGCGCGAGATGTCCCTTACTTTAAGTTCTCTGTCGAATGACATCATTACAAATTCTGTCTGCCAGAGAAACCCAAGCAAATACGTAAACAAGTAATGAACTATGACTTGAACATAATAAAATATACTCATTTACGATTCTTGCGTCGTAGGAATCGACCTTGAACACTTTCAATTATAATTCTAAAGAGGAAACTTGCTGACAATTTACGAGGCCCTTATGAGCCTTACTATAAAATGATTTCGTTACTACACTCACTATAGTATTAACGCTATTTAGGTGTACGTTACCATAACAAGATCGTAAATCGCATTAATTTTTATATTACATAAAGAAATTCTATACTAATATTATAAAGAGACAGAATAATTGTTTGTCTGTACGCGCTAATAAAATTCTTTTAGCATTAGATGCAGCCCGTTTATTGATGGACGCTATAGGCTATATATCATCATGCTACTTACTATCTAAGGGAGCGGAGCAGTAATAATAAATGTCAATGTCGGGCAGATCCATACAATATTGTAAAACCATATAAATTATATAAATACATGGCTATATAACATAAAGCCAAAGGTTTTTTTTTTGGAGATTGAGCGCGAGCGAAGCCGCAGGTTTTCCTTGTTACTATATAAATTGAAAATAATGCAAAATAAAGATTGAATTGTTACGTTTCATATAAATTCTCATTTTCATATAAACTCAATCACTCTTATAACTTCATCTCAAATAAACTTATTCCTCCGAACTCTCTTGCAAAGGATTATAACTATAGAATTTTGCTAAAGATTTGTAGTCGAGTTAAACATTAAATAAATATGTTGAGACATTAACACACAGCGCCATCTAGTTCTATGGTAAACTACGAGGCTTGTGTTATGGATACCGGATAGTTGATACACTACACATATATAACTTTATATACAAACATATTATAAATATATACATTTGAATGAACATACTGACCTAAAACTGTTATTTACTCATTTTTAAATAAAAAATAACATTAATCAAACAAAAGTTACTTAAAGAATTACACAAACTACAAACGATGCAAATAATTTTAACATACGTCATAATTCAATATTAAGTCAGTTGCAACGCGTGTACTTACGTAACGTACGCGCTCGCTATCGAGTATAGAATATAAATTATAGTAGGAGCTATGACCTAATTAGTTCAATATGATGTGATGTGTAGTGTGTCGATCTTTAGTTTTCAATGTCCATATAAGGTAAAATGTTTTGGAATTCCTCATTTGACTCATAAAATCGGCTTCATATTATATATACCCGTATATATAAATATTTAGTATATAATTATTAATACATTTGTTCGAAAACATATTTTATTGATTTTGACAGGTCGATTTGACATTTTAAATAAAACCTTTTTTTTTATATATTTGCGCTATAATAATCTATACTAATATAAAGAGATAAGTTTGTTTGTTTGTTTCAACTCGCTACTCTCAGGAACCATTAATCCGGTTTGAAAAATTCTTTTTGTGTTAGATAGCACGTTTATTGAGGAAGGCTATTATAGGCTATATATCATCCCGGGAAAATGTACAGTTCCCGTGGAATACTTGTTCTTATCTAGGAACGAACCCGAAGAGAAGCGAGGGTAAGTCGCTAGTAGCTTTACATCTATATTGGTTTCTCCTATGACAGTGTTTGCTGTATACTATAAAGCAATCGAAACGCCCAAACCAAATAATATATAAAGGCAAAACCAAAACCACTTCAGTACCATTTCTCATCTGGTTGTCAACCGAATTTATTTTTTATTGTTTAGTAGCTATTGTCGAGTATGTCAACAAACAATGCAAATTTGGCCACTGGTCGAATACTGATCAAAATAAAACAGCGAAAAGTCCCATAAAAGTGAACCAAACATTTTTTCATACATATACAATGTATATCCATAATATTAATATAATAAATGTGAAAGTGTGTTTGTTTGTCCTTCTTTCACGTGAAAACGGAATGACGGATTGGGGTGATTTTTCGTGTGGAGATAGTTGTAGGGCTACTTTTTACCGCGGGAGATTATCTCATTCCCACGGGAAAACACGTCATAATACAATCCAAAAAAATATTTAACTTAAATATAACAACTCACCTCTCCCTCAGTTGGCAAACACAATCTCGGTTGGAACTTGTGCTCCAACTGCAGATACTCATTTAGAGTAGTATACAGCTGCCTGAGATCAGGTGCTTGTGATGCTGACGTGGATGCTCCCTGGTCAGCATCCGGGTGCCTCGCGACCGATCTCAACATGATCGGGCGTGTGCGCGAGCGGAGGGTGAATCGGCACCTGTTGGATATTAGATAAAACATTAAGACCACACCATGGAAACCCATAAGTATTAAGGACATGTGAAATTCGCCCGCACTTATCCAACGTGGTGGACTATAGCTTGAACCCCATCGCATTGAGGGAAGGCCCACTCCCAGCTGTGGGACGTTAAAAAAGGGCTGAATACAAAAAAAATCCATACAAGTAGGCCTCTATCACCTTCATTCTAAAGGGAATGAATGATATTAAATGTAAGGGTTGTCAATGCTGATTTTTATGAAGAACGGCTTCGAAGTTAAAGCACTGTAGTGCCTCATAGCAAGTAATTGAAATATTGTGACTTGCCGTTATGATTTCTGCTAACTGATAAAAAATTAAGAAAAATATATTGTTTTGGGTTCTACTGCGATTATGACCCCAATAATATTTTTGTTAAATATATTCCATGTACAGACAGCGATCAGTTACAATTTTATTATATGTATAGATTTTCTCACGATCACTCGCCACGTAGATAGTTATTCGACTTTAGGCAACTCTATTAGTTTCCCAATTGCTATCAATAGTTCCATACAAATTATTCGACCAACGCAATCGTGATTGGCAATCACGCTGTTAGATTATATATGCCAAAGTTTTGTGTGGTGACGCCTTTACTTGAGAAACTGAGTGAAGCGGGTTCAAATCCCGGGTCTTGCACCTCTGATATTTTCATGTGCGAATCATTACCAACATGATTACCACTTGCCTTACAGTGAAGGAAAACATCGTGAGGAAAGCTGCACGTCTGAGAGAACTTTTCGAAAGACATGTGTAGTCCGCCAACACGCACTTGGCCAGCGTGGTGGACTACTGCCTGATCCCTCTCGTATTGAAGGGAGTTACAGGAAGGACGTTAAAAAGGGCTGAATACATACATACATGTTTGTTACTCCTTTAAGTAGAAACGGCTGGACCGATTTGTATGAAATTTAGTGCACAGATAAACTATGATCTGGAGTAACACATAGTCTTTAAGCATCTAAAAACGATCGGGAAATCGCTGGTACATTGTTCAAACTAATGGTGTAAAAAGTTAACTGGCTTTAGCCCGTGGCGCTACTTAATTCCTAGGTATACAAAGTACTTTAGGTTTTAGGCTATAGCTAGCCAGATAATCAAAAAGCAAACTAACATAATAATATGTTACGACTCACGAGGGCATTAAACCCAGAATGTAGGACGATAACAAGAGCTCATTTTAACTGTTCCATAATCACGTACTAACCGTTCGCACTTCGCGCGTTTATGTAATCATTAAAATTAAATAACTATATTTTTTTCTTCAAAAAAAAAGTCTGTGTACCTTTTTTTAAATCAGTTAAAAGTTAAATCTATACATATAATAAAATTCTAACTCAGTCGGACTTGTACTTTAAATATTTTTTGGAAAATCTTATTGAAATAGTCATTATTATCGATATAGAGGCCGAGTCTATAGTTTTTAGAATTTTTGTCTGTCTGTCTCTTTGTCTGGGAACACATCACGAAACCACTGGGCAGATTTTTATGAAATTTAGTATGATGATAGCCGGTTATCCGGGTCAACATATAGGACACTTTTTATTGCGGGAAAATATCTCATCTCTGAGAAATCTATACAAATAGCTAAATAATAATAAACTACTTACTAACTAAAAAAATGACTCCATACTAATATTCTAAATGTCAAAGTTTGTGAGGATATTTGTTACTCTATCACGCCAGAACGGCTAAACGGATCTGGATGAAATTTGGTATAGAGATAGATTATAGTCTTGAATAGCACATACGTTACTTTTTATCCCGGAAAAAAATGTACAGTTCCAGCGGGATAGATTTGTTTTTGTTTTTCACGTTTTCGCTGGTAATAAATATTTTTTTATTTGTACAGATAGACTATGAGCTGGTGTAACACTGTTCAGCACCTGCATATAACATCTAATATTATATAGTCCAAGAGACCGACCTAGATATGAACCTGTTCTTAGTTATTTAATTACAAATATTATAAAACACCAAAACTCACCTAAAGCTAGCGCTTGAGCAAGCAGCAAAATGTTGTATATGCCCGCACCGATCCCCCCACTGCTCGACGTCGACCCGACTGTTTGAGCGACCGGGCGCAGAGGCCCTAGTACCTGACAAGAGAGCTGGTATCAGCGACAGCTTTGCTGAACGCCAATTGGGAGTGATGGGACGATGGAGTTTAGATGATGATGATAATATATATATATGGTGACGATGATGGTATAAATAGATATAGATCTAGGAGGTTGTGTAGCTTAAGGGGTTTATGGGTTCAGCTTAGGTTACTGGATACAATGTCTTGTTGAAAGACAATTGTCCAGCCACCGGTGCTCTCACACAAGTCAGATACGTACAGGAGTGGTTGAGCACTACTGTAGGCCTTATCGTTTGCTCGCTTTACGCAAGACAGAACGACGCTGTAATAATAAACTTTAACGCCACGGTCAGCACCCTTGACCCTAGTATACACCGGGTTGGGAACCCTTAATACTTTATTTATTGAACCTTCGAATGTTCGCAGAGGGTCGCTTGACAGGGTGACAGAGTATGCGTGTATAGTTTTATATAAATTACCTGTAAATTTAGATCAATAAATTATACAAGAACAAAATTACGTGAAAATTGTATATAATATGTAACACAAGCATCAACCAATGTCTTTCCTTAACGCTCAAAATAGTTTAGGTACTATTATCTCGTCGATCAAAAAAGTACTAGATACACAATCAGCGACAAAAATTTTCCTCACCGAATGAGCGCTCGTTTAAACCTTTGGGCGCGCTTTAAATTTTTTTTTGTATGTCTCCTTTGTGTTTTTTTTTGTCTTTGGCTGGACGGATTTAGATGAAATTTAGCACACAAATATATCATGACATGGAGTAACACATAGGCTACTATTAGTAATGAAAATTTCCAATAGATGGAGCTGGCTGTATATAATATGTATTATTAACACAAAAGACACCTAGGGACGCACCCGAGCGAAAAACATTACATAGCAACTACAAGTATTTGATGTTAGTCAACAAGTATTATATAAAACTGTCTTTCCGGATTATTTCGCGGATTTATTTTGATTTTTAGTTCCCGACGTTTCGAATGCTTTACAGCAATCATGGACACGGGAGAAATGTCAAATATTCGCGTAAATCTAAGAGTCTAAGAAAGTACTAAGTATTACATAATTACTTCTATTCTATAATTCAAAACTTGTGTCTCTAACGTAAATAACTTGTTACGTAAATATTTGTTTAACTCAACTTCTACAGTATTCTCGTAGACTATATGGCTTGGCGTTACGTAAATTTTACAAAGCGGTTTCGCTTTGCATGACATTGACTGTGATTATTTTTATCAACAAGTGTTTATTAGCTTTCGCACGCGACTCCGCTTGCGTGGGACATTATTGAAAATAGCTCGTGCTCAGGTATAGCTAAGGTTTCTATTGATGAAAGATTTTTATATCAATCGAAGTAGATTTTGAGATGGTTGGTTACGTACAAATTAATTTTAAATTTATATTAATTTATCAATTTTGATAAAACTTTGACAATTACATAAATCTATTGATTAGGAAGATATTACGGATAGTGATTTTGACCTTCGATTAGTATAGAGTATGAGTTGAAGTAACACATAGGCCAGCGGTTCCCAAATGGTGCTTAGGAACCCAAGGGTTCCATGGGAGAGTCAGAGGTAACGAGTTCTGTCCGAGAGTTAAATAAAACGTTGTCAGACACCAAACCTAATTTTAGTGCTATTGTCAAAAAAATCATTCGTCACATTAAATAGGCTATATTTTTGGTACAATAAATATTAATAAGTATTAATATTTTTCATTTATGATTTGTAATTTGTTGTTTTGTTTTGTGTTTGTGTCAAACTTGAAAATCGAACCACAACACAACCAGTTTAGTTATTAATTATTATCAAAATGGGGATCCGTTAAAAAATATGATCAATTAACACTACAAAATTTAATTAAAATCAGTTCAGAACGTTTTGCGTGAAAGGCGAACAACCAAACAGACACAAATTTCAATAACTATTGTTTCAGGGTTCTATATTCTGTATACAATATGTTAGTCATTGTTTTTAAAAAATACAGAAATTTCATGTACAGATTTGCTTAAGTTACTGTTTTATTATATGTATAGACTAGGTACGCTTTATAAATAGTTATAAATAGTTATTAGAAAGTGTTAGTCATATAAATTTTAATTTTTTGTCGTTAATTTTTCATTTTTTCTCTTTATTACACACAACATTACAACCTTCCGTGGACCTTAAAGAACATACGAAAAAAATTTTTTTGCCATTCTTGAGTTATGCGCTTACCAACATTCATTTTTATTTATTTATATAGATTAGGGTTCCGTGGCAAAAATAATTTGAGAACCGCTGTCATTGGCTACAAATAGGCACCTAGAGACACATCCGAGCAAAGCTAGAGTAAATCGCTAGTTGACCAATAGAATGAAGGTGACCGTTTCACCTTCGAGTTCTATTAAAAATAACACATTCTCAATCTTGTTTTCGTTCCATACGTACGAACGAACCTACTCGATCTTTCGGTGCGATAAATTTATAGTTTTGTTTACCTCTTTATTTTTACACTTTGTTAGGCATATATACTTTCTTCTATCTATATATATACATATTTACATAGGTATGATGAGTTTATTGTGGGTTATATTAAAACGCGTTTTCCCGTGGGATGATCTCCCGCGGTAAAAAGTAGCCTAAATCACTCTCCAGCCCTCTTAACTATATCTCCACACAAAAAATCACGCCAATCCATCACTCTTTTTAGATGTAAAAGAAGGACAAACAAACACACTTTCACATTTATAATATTAAGTATGGGTTCTATAAACAACCGTTGACGTCAGACGTCTGTCTTTATCGGTCACGTTTATTACACCCATATACGAGTACAAACAGTAAATACTCATATCTAAATACGCACGGACAGATCACGTTAAGTCCGTCATTGTCACACCCCAAAATACGATAATTTGTTTGTATGTATGTCTGTTACTCCTTCACGTTGAAACGGTTGACAGATTTGAGTGAATTTTAGTACACAGATACTTTGACCTGGAGTGATATATATTATGTAGGCTAGGGGCATCTCAGTCCCAAATAAAATAAATATATATATTTATATAAAAAGAATCAACGAGTGAGATTTGTATGTCGAAAGTATTTTTTAAACACTTTAGCACTTTTAGAAGTGGGTAAGAAAGACTAATTAAATTTACCATGGTTTTTCCTGATTTTCTCCTATACGGTAAAGAAAATTTTATGGGACCACCTCTTTACCCACCATAACAGAATACGATTTAAAGTAGCAAAACCGGTCAAGCTACGAAACCACTCCAAGAAATCGGTGACCATATATAAAAAAAACATACATAAAAACTAACATAAAAACCTTTTTGGAAGTCGTTTAATAATAAAAATGTGATAATTTCATTTCACAACATATATAACTTTTTTTATTCTTCAGCCCTTTTTAACGTCCCACTGCTGGGTGTGGGCCACCCTTAAATACGAGGGGGATCAGGCCATAGTCCACCACGCTGGCCAAGTGCGAGCAGACTGGGCATGTCTTTCGAAACTTGCTAGATTCTCTCATATATGCAGGTTTCCTCACGATGTTTTCCTTCACCGTAATACAAGTGATAATCATGTTAGAAATTATTCGCACATGAAAATATCAAAGTGCGAGACCCGAGATGTGAACTCGCTTCACTCGGTTTCCCAAGCGAGCGCGTTACTACTGCGCTACCACTACCTTTTTATATTACAGAAGAAAGTAACTATTAAATAATATTAGCTTTTGAAAGCGTAATTTTCTATTACACAAGTAACCTTACTCGCTATTTATAACTTATTGCGTTTAAAACCAATGTTTGGAACATTTAGGCTAAAACAACATTATCAAGTCATCGACCTTAACGAACGGTATGATGTATAGAAAAAGTGAAAATAAACGTAAAAACAACTGATAACGCGTTCCGTCGTAAACAAAATTTTAAAATATTTATTATTAAGTAGATATATAATATACGGCAATCAGTGCAAAAATGACCCAAGTCCAAAACAACAGAAGGTACTTCAGAAAAAAATTGTACTAATAAATACATATATATAATTAATCTTATAAATACATATATATACTATGCTAGTAATATTGTAAATGCGAAAGTTTGTGAGGATGTATGTATGTCTGGATTTATAGATGTATGGATGTATGTTACACTTTCACGCAAAAACTACTGAATGAATTCTAATGAAACTTTACAAATATATAGCTCATACTCCTGGATAACACATAGGTTACATTTTATCCCGGAAAAATGAACGATTCCCGTGGGATAGATTTGTTTTTATTTTTCCAGAAGCGGTTGAGCTACTTGTATACTACTACTCGTATATAAATACGAAAGTTCGGACGGGTGGATGTTTGTTACTCAATCACGCCAAAACGGCTGAACGAATCTAGATGAAATTCAGGTACAGAGATAGGATATAGTCTGGAATAACACATAGGCTACTTTTTAAAACTTATGTTAATCTAAAGAATCAGCTAGGGACGAACCCGAGCGAAGCGAGGGTGAATCGCTAGTACATACATATATAATTTTTGAGTAATGACGTTTTAAAGCCATTAAAAATAGGTTAAAATCAATCTTTTGGACCAGTCTTTTGCTTTGAAGATCTAAATCCAACAAAATCAAAACCAGCTTGGTGTCTTAAAAAAACACAACGTCCCATACATCTTGAACACTAGAAAGTATTAAATATCAGCAGAAAACACTGAAACTACCTAAACAATTGCTATTATACGTCAGTGAAAGTACCACCTCAGTCCGTCTAAGCAAGTCGGCGTAGCAATAAAACGCTTTCATAATTCTTCATACAATGATATTCTTGTAGACGCGTTATATATACACCACATGATCTATTGTATAGTGCACTAGCACTTGCCCGCGGTTCTGCTTGCTTAGTTTGTTTTAACGGATCTTCATACAAACTACCAATAAGCCATTATAATTTTCGCGATTAATCATTGATAGGTATTTCGCTTTTATATAGACAAGTA